GTGGCAGGGTTAAACATGTTTTCTATTTTAGTTGTAAGGAGAAATGACTTAGTTAAAATAAACAGAACAACATTGGTATACATTATATAAACATGATGAAATTCAAAGATGTCTTGAAGTTTATACAGTGGTTAGATGGTTAGATACACAAAGTTTTTTTTACCAAAGGACCAGTTCAACTATTCCATCACAAGCATCAATTCACCATCAATTTCAATCAAACTGACAAACACTACCATTGACAGTAGGATTGAAAGCCAACCACCAAACATACGTTACAGAGGCTATAATTACATCCATAGAAAATCTTATAAAATTTCTTGATCAAATGCACCAGTTCTTACAGGGATGACCGCCTTGGTGGTCTCGTGGTAGTGTGTTCGCCTCGAGTGCGGGAGGTTGTGGGTCGAACCCCGGCCAGGTCAAACCAATGACTTTAAAATTTGTATTTAATGTTTCTCTGCGTAGTACACGGCTTTAAGGAGTAAGAGCCAAGACTGGTCGGCTCGGAGTCAGAATAATGTGTCCGGGTAAGACAACATGTCTTCTTGCGGACTGTTACCTTGTGAAATAGCACATTAAAAATCTGGCTCAGGCACTCAGCGTGTCGGTCTAGTACAAAGCAGGGTAAGTATTCATATTACATTAAAATGCTCTCGTCCTGAATATGCATATTAATTTGTCGCTGGACGTTAAGCAGCCATCCATCATCATCATCTTACAGGGATGGTATAAATGTAGTCTACTTTCAAAACAAGATATTTAATGACCCACAAAACAAATCTGTCTTTACTTATTTCTGAAATTTGTACTATAGTGTACCTTTTTATCCCTGAAAAAGACGAGGGTTCAAATACAAAATTAAAAACATGGCTTTGGGCTACTGGTAACTGTACTGAAATTGAGTTTGCTACATACAAAATACAACAAATAAGATATTCGTATTTTTAATTTATGAATTCATGCAACTGAAACTGAACATGTTCAGTTTATAATAATGTACATGTATAATATTAATGTTCAGAACTATTTTGATGTATTATGATACATTGTATTCTGAAAATTCTAAAATGAGACAATAATGTTGTTAAATATAAATAAGATTAATAGTAGGTATACTAAGAGGAATTTTCAATGATATATTGAACTTCTTTAGGAACCTCATTAAATATTCATGAATGCTTTAAAAGCTTATTGGGCTAAAATTGAAACTTGTTCTTTGTGTATTAAGTTAATTAGAACTATTAAAATATGTCCAGACTGCTTAAATAATGAATAATATATTTCCTGTGTGACATACTAGGCTCTTCCATCTACTTTGATAAAAACAAAATTAGGGGACCTGTAAAAATTTTTAAAGGAAAATAAACAACTTTGATAAAAAATATTATCCTCATATAATAAATAGACTATCGTTTAATATGGCCAGTCAATATATTCATATGAAAATTCCTCCTCAATATACAGAAACATAACGGTAAATGAATTAAAAAGTAAATTTGAATTACATTTTTACCTTATAAGGTATCTTTTAAAAATAAAGGATACAATGAAGCTTGGCACACTAACATTACCCTGCGCTTTATTAACATTTGACAGAAACTGCATAGCATTAACATTAAAACTTGTTCAATCATTAACAAGGCCTAAGCAGCCAACTAGTAGAGAAATGGTTTATATCTTCCTTATAACTAAGTTTCTTCACCTTTCATCATTATGTTAGGACAGTTTGTAATTGATTGATTGATTGTTGATTGTTGGTGTTTTAACACCACTTTTAAGCGCCACATTTGGGCTATTTCGTGGCGGTCAGTTTTTATAGGTGGAGGAAGCTGAAGTGCCCGGAGAAAACCACCGACCTTCGATAGGAAAATTGACAATCCTAGTCAATTAAGATTGGAGTCAAGTGCACCCGCATGAGCGGGGTTCGAACTCACAACCTCAGTGTTGACTGGCTAGTGATTACAGTAGTTGAACTACTTAGACCACTTGGCCACCGAGGCCCCTGTTTGAAATTGAAGTCATTGGGATGATCCCTTTGGTTGATATACTGGAAATCCTGTTATATTTATTGGAACTCAAATGAAAAAGGCAGATTCCAAAAAAAAACAGACATTGTGGTAGGGCTTTAAATATTGCTTTGTTTGCATACAAAAACCAATTAAATGATATATATCAACATAATGGTATGACAGTGTTTGAAATTAAGTCATTCATTTATTCAGATATCTGAACAATACTATTTATGTATATGTTACCATAAAAAAACATGCACTTCAATAATATAAATGCATGTAGAAAGTTTTTGATTGACACAATTTGAGCAAGATTTTCTTCCCTTTTGTCGCCATGTTGGAGGTATACGTGCACAAATTCTTTCGTAAATCAGACAAATTCAACTTGTCATACTGACTGCTAGATTTTAGAAAAAAGATGTTTTCAGAAACTTTTTCAATTTCTTTTAGCCTTGCTTAATTCATTACTTCGATCTTTTTAAAGTCTCTTGTCAGACTTTTTTGTACCATATGTATCAATTTGGTTAGTCAAATAAGAAAATCAACCATTTATCCATCCAAAATACTGGCCCAAGGGAAATAACTCAAACTGAAATTACATCATATCAAAACCTATATTCATTACAATCTTTTAACAAAATAATCAAAACTTGTAACAATTCTGTAGTTTTAGCAATAATAATAAAACAATACTTTGATTTCCGATTGAGTTACCGCAAATTAAGCACCAACAAGCAAAAAGGTAACAAGTATAAAAAAACAAAACAATAGAAATAACTTTTAACTAAAATAAATAACATAGTTTTATAAATAGTTTGTATCAAGAGGCTCTGTTCATTCTTATTCAAACTATCACTCTATTTGAGACTGATTATTCAGTATTTGTTGTGTACTAATTTTTCGTGGATTTTGTGGTTATAGGTGAATATGAATTCTAATGTTCAACAATATATAAGTTTTCTAAAATAGACCTGATGAGTTAAGCCTCTTTCAACTGATTTTTATAGTTCGTTCTTATGTCGTACGGTTACACCACTGTCCCAGGTTAGGGGCAGGGTTGGGATCCCGCTAACATGTTTAACCCCGCCACATTCTGTATGTATGTGCCTGTCCCAAGTCCGAAGCCTGTAATTCAGTGGTTGTCGTTTGTTTATGTGTTACATATTTTTTTTCGTTCATTTTTTCTACATAAATTAGGCCGTTATTTTTCTCGTTTGAATTGTTTTACATTGTCATTTCGGGGCCTTTTATAGCTGACTGTGCGGTATGGGCTTTGCTCATTGTTGAAGGCCGTACGGTGACCTATAGTTATTAATTTCTGTGTCATTTGGTCTCTTGAGGAGAGTTGTCTCATTGGCAATCATACCACATCTTTTTTATATTGAATACAGAATTGGTCAAAACAAAGAAATCAAGTAATCATGAAAGGAGAAAACTTCCTCGATTCCATGAAAACAAATGATTCCGCAGTACTTGTAATGGTTTATGTCAATTCTTATACTAAAATTCTTCATATAAACTAAACTAAACAAAACAAAATCAAATTTCACAAAGCCATTCAGTTTAACCCCTTTGGCCTTATATTAATATGATTATAACAATATGTATGAGTAAATCAATTAGTAAATAAAGGACATGAACACATTTCTATTATTTCACATCCAGAATATCGCTTAGACTAAAATTGCAGTTACTCAGTAACACTATTAAGCACTGGATCATAGAAATTAATTATTGAATCTACAAATAAAATACTGTACTTTTTCCATAAAGTAATAAAATGCTCCTCTGGGCGCAGCTTGATACGACAGCTGAGGTCGAACCCTGGACAGTTGGGGCAAGTATGGACACAACATTCAAACTTGATACAGCACTGAATTTGGATTGTGATTAAATATTTGACACAGCACAGGTTACTGACACAGAATGAATGTGGTCTAAGAACTTAAAATTTTTTAATTTACCTATTCAAACCATATCATTATTATTTGCTTTTATATATAAATCAGAAATAACCAATTTAAAATGGAAAATTTTAAAGAGAAAAAAACCCCCTTATGGTTCATCACCCCCAAACTTAATCCCAGCCTTCCCTTTGTGGTATGGTACCTGCAGTACAATTTCAGAGAGATCCATACACTTGAACACAAGTTATTGTCTGGAAACTAGAAAAATGCTTGTTTTTTGGCCCCAAATTCCTAAACGTTTAGGGCAATTACCCCCAAACTCAAACCCAGCTTTCCCTTTGTGATATCGAACCTTGTAGTACAATTTCATAAAGATCCATACACTTACACACAAGTTATTGTCCTGAAACTAGAAAAATGCTTGTTTTTTGCCCCTTTTTTGGCCCCTAATTCCTAAAATTTTGAAGCAATTACCCCCATAATCAATCCCAGCCTTCCCTTTGTGGTATGGTACCTTGAAGTACAATTTCAGAGAGATCCATACACTTGAACACAAGTTATTGTCTGGAAACTAGAAAAATGCTTATTTTTGGCCCCTTGTTCCTTAACATTTTAGGCAATTACCACCAAACTCAATTCCAGCTTTCTCTTTGTGATATGGAACCTTGTAGTACAATTTCAGAAAGATCCATACACTTACATACAAGTTATTGTCATGAAACTAGAAAAATGCTTGTTTTTTGCCCCTTTTTTGGCCCCTAATTCCTAAAATTTTTAAGCAATTACCCCCAAAATCAATCCCAGCCTTCCCTTTGTGGTATGGTACCTTGCAGTACAATTTCAGAGAGATCCATACACTTGAACACAAGTTATTGTCTGGAAACTAGAACAAGAGTGCACACGCTGAAATGTCTCCCCTTCTTTACTAATCATTGATATTATGTTGATAGTCCTAAATATAAAGCTTTTTGCCCCTTTTTTGGCCCATAATTCCTAATATTTTGAAGCAATAACCCCAAAATCAATCACAGCATTCCCTGTGTGATATGGAACCTTGTGGTACAATGTCAGAGAGGCCCCTAATTCCTTAACTGTTAGTACCATAACCCCCAAAATCAATCCCAACCTTCCTTTTGTGGTATTGAACCTTATGGTAAAATTTCATAGAGATCCATTCACTTAAAATAAAGTTAGAGTGCGAAAACCAATGTGTCTTCGGAAGACGACGACGACGACTCCAACGTCATACCAATATATGACCGCAAAAATAAAAACTACAAATATTAAGTATAATATAAATGAATTTTGCTGTCTTCAAAAGCTTTTTCATCATCTGCCTCATAAAAGATAATTTGTCAGTTTTCTTGCACAATTTCATGAAAAAGTGAGTTTTTTATATATGCACAGAAGCTTTAAGGATAAGTTTATACTAGTAAAATCTTTCAACTTTATTTCTATGAATCAACAATATGCTTGCTGAATTATATACATCAAAATGTTGTATCAAATACTTGCCCATATGGGTAATATCTCTTCAAGAAATTCTGTTACAAATTTTGGAATAAATGAAAGATTTTTTTTTCTAAATACCATTCATTTTCAATTTTCATATTATATAACATTTAAATTTCTTAAAATTTATAAATATTGCCCTTTGAATTTAAATTTCTGCAAGACTGACGTGAGGAATTATACAATCTCCTCACAAATTAGGGAGCTACAGTGGATTCATTTATTTTTGTGAATACTAATTTTCTTAGATTAAGAAAACCACTATTTTCGTGGATATTTGATTTCATGGTTTGGTATATCTGCATATAAGCATATAGAAAATTTCTATTTTGTTGAACATTTAAATTCGCAGTTCACCTATACCCACGAAAATTAATTAATCCACAGTCATTCAACAGACTACAGTTACATTCATTCTTAAAACATGCAAAACAAACAAGCAGTCAATTTATCACAGTCCAACAAAGGTTTGAATTATAAATTTAAAACCTCAACTTCAATCAAAAATAAATAAAACATGGTTGTGGTTACTATAAATAGCCAATTTATCACAGATCAAATATATTGATGAAAACAGCAATATAAAATTTTAAGTAAGTTTGAAAATAAGTTGGTTTTATAAATGAATCATGTAAAGTATTTCAACAATATTAAATGTCAGTTAATAACATCTGTAACAATTTGAGCATAGTCAACTCCCATTATCTCAAAGTTGATCAGACTAAACAAAATAAATATATAGAATAATGGCATTCTTGCTTTTATTTCTTACTTTAGTCTTTATCTTTTTTTCAAAATTCCTACTGGAACTTACTTTATCAACAAGAATATCAATCCAGCACACTAGGGTGATCTGATATTCGAGCTGATGAAGTCAGTGAAAAAAAAAAAAATGCCATTATTCTATTATTGGCAATTTGTCTTTAATAACAATATGTTTTTAGGGTTGAGAATATGAAAGAGTTAGTAAAATCATTTTCACATGTATAAAACGTTCTGATAATTGTTCGATTGTGGGAATGAATTTGTGTGCATTTCATTGATAAATTAACCCAGATAAACATAAATATGTGACGTTGCTGCACTGATACATGATGTCATTGCCTTATATTTTTGAGTATCAGTTCCTGTCCATGATCTAAAGAATATTAGGCAGTAAGATCAAAGGGGAATGTACAAATTGCTGATAATTTGAGACTACAGGAATTTTGAGATATTAGAAGTAAATAACTTTGAGAGAACAGAAATTTTGAGATAAAGAGGGTTGACTGTACTTTTCCCTGTTAACATAAATTTACTCCAAGGAAGGCACATTGAAATCACTATTACGTGTGCTTACTTTGAAATTCAACTTTCTAACAAAGGTCTTTTTGAAGATGACTACTACTTATATTGGTGGTACATGTTGACATTGACTGCCTTCCTTGGGTAGAAGTAATGCTTAATGGTAAATGGTGGTTAAATTGAAACTGATTTCTTTATTTTCTACAGCCTGCTAAGCAGATTCACAAGTAAGTCAATGTTACTCACATACTATCAACAATAGCTATTAGCAATTTTAAAGCAATGTTCAGTTGTTTCTTCATTCTCAGAATTACAGATTCTTATTTCAAAGATTCTTCAGTTTTCAGCAATTTTACTGATTGGTTGGATATTCATTAGTTGGACATGAATATTCATTATCAGTTTTCAAAATTTTTATTGGTTGGTCGAATATTCAAAAGTTGTATGAATATTTATCAAGTGTCTCGATCGTATATTTACAAACTAAGTTATTGTCTATCATTCCATGTATATATCTTCTGTTGGATGTGTCAATGCCATATATTCCTGGTAAAATCTCTTGAAAGCTTGTCTGAAAAAAAGGAATAAACAATTAGAATGGATAACATGTATGCCATATTTACTAATAACTGACACAAAAAATGTATTTAATAATTGTAAGTGCATAAATGTAGATTTTCCATTCACATAAACATTCTCTTAAAGAGTATATATATTTGTTTCCAGGGTTTGAGGAAAGGGGGATGTAATTGCCCATAAAGGTAAAAGTAACTTCATAAGGATAAACATTTGTTGTTTAGGATTTTATGCCAATAAATGAAAATTTTTCCAATCAAAGAAATTGGGGTGTACGCCCCTACCCTTCCCTAAATCTACCACTGTTAACTATATAAAAAGCCTTTTAAGTACAACTGTTTCTCAATATGTCAAATACAGATAACTTGTACAGCTTAGTTTGATACAGATTTTCCCTCCATCCACAGTGGATGTATCCTCCTGACCTAAATTCAAAATTCTTTTATAAAAAACAAATTGTGCTTCATTTTTACATAAATCTAGAATGTTTGTTCAATTTTCAAGTCAAGCATAATGAAAATTAATAAGTAGCTAATGACAGAATCAATCAATTTTTTTTTATTCTGTTTCCATTTATTTGTTTACTATAACAAGAACTAATGTTATGAAAGAACATACCCTAATGCATCATTGACTTGACGAGTTGATTTTTCACCAAGAAATACATGGCATGCAAATCTATATAGCTTAGGATGTTTGGTAATAAAAGCAAAATACCTGAAAAAAAAGATATGGTATCATACAATACATATTTTTAATTCAAGATAGTGTAACTTGACATAAGGGCTATTCCATTAAAATGTATGTGGGAGGGTAGGAAGGGAAGTTTAATTATTGAATGTGGGTCATGGGTCTTTTTTCAGTATGTGTTTACCATTATGCAAAATTATCTAAAAAATGGTTCTTGGTTGTAGGGATATTTTGAAAGTCCCTTCCTACCCTCCCACATACATTTTAATGGAATAGCCCTAAATGTGAAGTAATTGAAATTGTTTTCAGAGAAGAAACAATTCATAAGTCTGAATTTACACAATAATTAAGATCGTAATTCTGATTTTTAACATTTTAACCAAAACAGTAATACTGAAGTCTGGACTTTGATACATCCAGTTGTATGAAACAAAAAAAATTGGATTATTTTAAAACATATGATGTATTGGCTTTATGAAAAAAAAACACTATAATGAATATTGCAATTGTGAATTATTGAGTCATCTCACATTATAAAGATCAAATTATTGAGTTATCTCCCATTATAAAGATCAAGAGATCTTGTATCTCCCATTTATATAAAGATAAAATTATTGAGTTATCTCCCATTATAAAGATCAAATTATTTATTTATCTCCCATTATAAAGATCAAATTATTAATTTATCTCCTATTATAAAGATCAAATTATTTAGTTATTATAAAGACCAAATGAACTTGTATTTTTTTTTAAATCTGTGTCCTTGTATCGCGAACAAAATGTTCAAAATAATGTTTGAAAACTTTTAAAACATATTCAAATTCCAGATACTTAGGTGAATTATTGAGTTATCTCCCATTATAAAATTCAAATGAACTTGTATTTTTACAAAATCCTTGTCCTTGTATCTGAAACAAAATGTTCAAAATGATGTTTGAAATATTTAAATTCATTTTCAAATCCCTTATAATTAGGTAGTTTGGTACTTTATGAAAACAGCCCAGTTTGGACAAAACAGAATAAAATAAAAATAAAAGAGTTAACATTTATAATAATCCTGCTTACTTGTCTTTTCTAGGATGACATCCACAGAAAGATATATTCTTTAATGCAAAGAAATGAGTAAAATCTGTGTCTTCATGCTGGAAATATAATAATAATGATAATTAAATCTTGTAAATAATTAAAAAGCAATGCAATCGACACTGTAAAAATTGAGATAAATAATTAAAATGTCAATTGTTCTTGAACAATTGAGAGGTCTTTCCTTTTCATTATATAAAATATATGTTTCAATAGGCGTAGAATGCATTGAAAAGCTCTAAAACACACACAAAACACTTAAAATATGGTCAAAAACACATAATTTGGAATTTGGGACATGACCTTGACTTTTGACCTTACGACCTTTGTCAAGGTCATTGGTCCACGATGTCATAACAAAAGACCCCTTGGGTCTAGGACCTTTGGTTCATGAGTTAAAGCTTATTTTGTCTTTTCTAAAACAGTTAACAGGGGTTATGCCCCTTACAGATAGGTCAAATCTCTTCGGTCAAAATGTAAAAAAGTTGCGCCTTAGTCACTTAAACATTTTTCACTATTTACTATTTTTGTAAGTATAATCGTTTTTGAGATATCGAATATAAAGTTGTAAGGTCAAAGGTCAAGGTCAACCTTAAAAAGCTTGAAAACACACTAAAAATCCTTTATATAAGGTTAAAAACATTTATTCGTTATCTGGGACATGACCTTGACCTTTGACCTTGTGACCTTGTCAAGGTCATTGGTCTCTTATGTCATTGCTGAAGACCCTAAGGGTCTAGGACCTTTGGTTCAATAGTTAAAGCTAATTTTGTCTTTTCAGAAAGCGTAAACGGGGGTTATGCCCCTTAATTATATGTCAAATCTATTCGGTCATAATGTAAAAAAGTTGTGCCTTAGTCACCTAAACATTTTTCACTATTTACTATTTTTGTAAGTATAATAGTTTTTGAGATATCGAATAAAAAGTTGTAAGGTCAAAGGTCAAGGTCAACCTTAAAAACCTTTAAAACACACTTTAAATCCTTTAAATAAGGTCAAAAACACATAATTCGCTATCAGGGACATGACCTTGACCTTTGACCTTGTGACCTTTGTCAAGGTCATTGGTCCCAAATGTCATTGTTGAAGACCCATTGATCTAGGACCTTTGGTTATATAGTAAAAGCTGATTTTGTCTTTTCAGAAACCTAAAACAGGGGTTATGCCCTTACAGAAAGGTCAAATCTCTTCGGTCAAAATGTAACAAAGTTGCGCCTTAATGACCCAAACATTTTCCACTATTCAAAACTTCTGTAAGTATAATGGTTTCTGAGATTATCCCATAACAAGGTGTAAGGTCAAAGGTCAAGGTCAACATACAAATTTTGACCTTGAGGCATTTTGAAAGTCACATGAATTGATGATCATTGGTGAAGATCCTAGGTGGCTACGACTTACGGTTTCTGAGTTTTGGTGGCCAACCGACACCGGTTAATTTTCAAAGGGGCATAACCCTACCAATGAGTCGTTGAATCTTTTCGATCCAAATGTAAGGAAGAACCGGGGTCTGGTCCTGAACAAATTTCACCCTTTGCTTTTTTTCTACCTATTAAGGTTACGGTGTTTGAATGATAACAAGGTTTTTAGGTTTCGGAGGGATAACTCCGGACCGACAAATTTTACGACTCACAGGGTGAGTTCCGGATAGGTATTTGTGACACCGATACAAAGTGTGAACCTGAAAGCGACATGGCTTACGGTTACGGAGGGAAATTTTGTCAAAGTTTGGCAGAACAAAAAGAATAATAATAATAATAATAATAATAATAATCAGAAGAAGAAATACAGTAAGGTCTTTCCCTTTTGGAAAAGGAAAGACCTTAATAATATTTGTTTACAAATTGTGTACATCTAAATTAAATCATGTATTAACAATATATTTGTATGTATAAAAGCAGTTCTTTTGTTACCTATTCTGACATCGGACTCGGACTTCTTTTAAACTAAGTTTTACTGTGCGTATTGCTGTGTGTTTGTTTATCCTACATTGGCTAGAGGTATAGGGGGAGGGTTGAGATCTCACAAAACATGTTACACCCTGCCGCATTTTTTGTGCCTGTCCCAAGTCAGGAGCCTCTGGCCTTTGATAGTCTTGTATGTTTTTTAATTTTATTTCATTTATATGTTTTCGAGTTTAGTGTGACGTCCATTTTCATTGAACTAGTACACAGTTTTGTTTAGGGGCCAGCTGAAGTCCGCCTCGGGGTGCCTGATTTTCTCGCTGTGTTGAAGACCCATTGGTGTCCTTCGGCTGTTTTCTGCTCTTTGGTAGGGTTGTCGTCTCTTTGACACATTCCCCATTTCCATTCTCAATTTTATAATATATAAGCGTTTTAGTATGCTTTCAATCTTGAAATGGTTAAAACCAGAAAACTAAGAAGGTTAGGTCGCTTTTGCTTGGAAGTTAAAAAAAATAATTATTCACAGAGTATAATCAAACATTTGATAAAAACAGTAACTCACCCCAGTTTTACTTTTGTCTAACATTCTTATTCCATACTGACTTATTTCTACTGTACATAATGGTGGAGGCACTGAACTCTTCTGTGACCGTCTGGATAAAGCAACCTGTCAAAATAGATAAAGAAAAAAATGTTAAACTAAGTTTGAGATGAAACAAATGTGTAAACCAATTTTTTTCTGCAAATACTTTTTTTTGCGTTTAGTCCATTCTAGGCGACTTTGAAGCGATATATTTTTGCTTACTTTATTGATTTCTAATAAGAAAAGACCACAGTTTGACATACTGGCAACAATTTACACTGGATTTTTCACCTACTAGCGAAAGTCATGAAAATAAATTGCTAGCAAACATTAATTGCTTTCCAGTATTTTCAAAGCAACTCAAGCAATGCTCTGGTCATTTGCAAAAATGCAAAGATGAATACAAAGATGGTACAGTTTGTCAGCAATCTGTTTCAGGGTATGTGGGTATTGTCAGCAATCTGTTTCAGGGGATGTGGATAGTGGAAGCATCAAGGTTTTTATTTCTCTAAAAGCTTATATTTAAAGGAATTTTCTGTGTCCAAGCATCACAACTCCTGCAAATCACTCAACCAGAATGAAACTAAAGCTCAATCTGTACATTCTTATGATATGACCATGTATGATAATACCAATATCATATCTACTGATTCAGAAATATCAGAAAAAAGTGTAGAAAACACATAATTTCAAGCAATTTTCTATGTCAAAGGGGGTGCAACTTCGGCATAAATCGCTCAAGTGGACAAAAACTCATACTTGATCTGTAACTTCTTATAATATGACAAATTATGAAATGTCTAATCCATCAATTCAGGCATTACAGAAAAAAGTGCAGAAAACTTACTGGATGGACACACGGACCAAGTGCAACCTTCGTCTTCTGTAAAAAAACAGGAGTGCTTAAGCCTCGCATCAGTAAATATTTCCATAGTACAAACCTTATTTATTGCCTGACATAAAACTTCATCTCCTTTGTGCCCATTAACTTCTACTGATCCTAAAAATCGTAACTGGAATCTCCAACTTCCATCTTCGTCCTCTATAAATATCAGGAAAAATAATTAAAAAGTATGTCAATTTATTTGTTTTTGTAACTATGTATAATAGTAGGTCTCTCTTATAAATAACTATCAATGGGATATAAGCAACAAAATACATTCTGATATGTGGCAGTCAGACAAACTTTAGGTAATAGCCAACCAAACCACTTTATAGCAGGCTTGACAGTATTATTAAGTTAATAAATAGCTAGAAAACATGAGTAAGTATAGGATCTAACGAAAGTTCACCTCACTGCACTTTAATGTGCAAACTCACAAACACAGGAAGAGACAATGGTTGAAATAACCAGCCAGTGTCTCAATTGCACTGTACAATCTTTATCCCCCCCCCTCAAAAAATTTAATGGCCTAAAAGAAATTACCCCTGCTTTTTGGTGGGGTTCGTGTTGCTCAGTCTTTAGTTGTCTATGTTGTGTTTTGTACACTGTTGTTTGTCTTTTGGTTTTTTCCTTTTTTTCCATGAAGCTGTCAGTTTATTTTCAAACTTATGAATTTGGATGTCCCTTTTGTATCTTCTGCCTCTCTTTAATATTTTAGAAAATACAAGCAACTAGATAAGATACAAAAATATATCCAATAGTTAAATCAATGGATATTGTCTTCAATGTCGATTAAATGAGCTATCAATCAGTTTAGTTGCAAATAAAGTGCACTTAGCACCTTAAATTACCTGTTTCTTCCTCTAAGAACTGTAAATCTGTTGCATACATTGATGGGAATATTCCTTGTTGTCCTGATCGTAAATTGACACCTTTAAATCAATAAACATTTATAAGTATATGTCATTAATTTGTCATAAATTATTGCTTTTATTTTTTTTTTTTTTTTTGTAGGTAAGACATTTTTACCTTTTACCTATTTTAGATTTATCAGAAATGCCTCAAAATTTAAACTTCAAACAAATATATATAAATCTTTGCAGCAATAGTTTTAGACTTGAGGTTACATATAAAAATAAATTTTCCATTTACAATTTTCAATTTATGTTGTATGCAAGTGAATACAGTTTACAATGTAAACATAAATATCTGTTTCATTGCAACATGACAACAAAATTGATTGCAAAATGAAAAAAAAAACAACTAGTGTAACCCAAACAACAGTTGACATACCTGTCCCAAGTTAAGGATTTTTTCAGCGCTTGTTTTTCCGTTCTGATATATGATAGTCTGTTGAATTTTTTCACAACTTATTTAAGAGCTTGTCATGCAGTGTTGTTGCAAATTTACTGGATTTTGATCTCTATATATGTTTATTTTGATTAATTTTTATTAATGGGTTGCCGTCTAATTGATTTTTCCCGAATCCTTTTTATAAAATTCATAAATGAAAGAAAATACTACATTTAAAACGAACTCCCAAGATTTTTTTTTTAAGTAAATAAAAATACCCAAATTTTTCATTACTTGACTGCATAATTATGTGTAATCCATGTGAAGAAATCTCAGATACCTTATGTGACATACAAATTTTAGTACATTCTAATAATATATTGAGAAATAAAATATAATTTATGTCCATATATAAGGACAAACCTTCACACCAAAGATCATCACTGGTTTTTGTTACATGGAGGGGATCTCCTATTTCTATCTCCACTTCGTCTTTATGTCTTGGTATAAATCTGTGCATTCCTCTGTGGGTTACTTCCAAATCTAAATAATTAACACCAGGGTAACTAGACGATGACCTTCTCCTTGAACCTGAACCTGAAGTACAGATTAGGAGGTTATTATAGATAACTATTTAACATTTTCCATATCAGCCTTGGCATCAGTCCTCCTTGTCTCTTAGATCAAGCCTGAGAGCTTTAGTTCGAGGTCTGATATGGATCAAGGACTGGTTCCATTGACAATAGGGTAAGTATTATATGTAGAACTCTGTGCATTCTTTGGGAATATGTGTACATTTGATAAATTTAAAACATAAGGTTTGGTACCATTAAACATTTAAACCCGCTGCAACTGTTTGCACCTGTCCTAAGTCAGGAATCTGATGTTCAGTAGTTGTCATTTGTTGATGTGGTTCATAAGTGATTCTCGTTTCTCGTTTTTTATATAGATTAGACCGTTGGCTTTCCCGTTTGAATGGTTTTACACTAGTAATTTTTGGGGCCCTTTATAGCTTGCTGTGTGGTGTGAGCCAAGGCTCCGTGTTGAAGACCATACTTTGACCTATAATGGTTTACTTTTACAAATTGTTGACTTGGATGGAGAGTTGTCTTATTGGCACTCATACCACATCTTCTTATATCTATATAATCCTTAAATCAAAGTGCTTGTGAGCACTAAAGGATAAAGATTGCATTAATTTTGCAAACGGAACTAAAAATTAAACATTGCATTGTATTAAGGTAGGGGGTGTGTCTTAATGTTTGACTATAGATTTTTCTTCAACTTCTGTAAAAGACTTCTGGGTCAATGTACTTCCAAATTTCTATATAAAAACAGGGGTCAGTTTATTTCCTTAAAATACATTAAAATTAATGAAATCAGATATTTTATAGGGGTTATATAGGGGAAACTTAAATTTTTCCTTATTCAGAAAATATTAAACAATAGAAATGGTTAAAATTCAATGAGAGAATTGCTTGTCATATATACTTCTGAAATATCAAATAAAAATAGGTGGTCTTATTGTAAATACACTTAAAAAAAATTTAATTTTTTAACAGTTTAATCAATAAATTGCAAGCTTTAGATGTTTCTGTTGAATATAGAATGATACTTGGTAAAATATTTTTAAACCAAAATATTTTTTTGCAACTTTGCCCAGAAGGGATGCTCAGAAAGAGACACTGGATCTACCGTAAGCATTGTAGGGCAATACCATGAATTGGAGTCCCTAATTGAAGTTGAACAAAATACAATTATGGACAGAGAAGATAACTCCAATTCTAAATATTACTTTAACAATGAAATCATTGATAATTTGTGAATAGATACTAGATTCATGCACCATGCTCAATTGATGTGATTTTCTTGACAAGTATGGTTATAACATCATTTTATAACTTGAACATTTGAGAATATATTTCAATGATAAATTTCTGGAAATGTTAACAGCCAAGTTAGGAGCCTTTAGTACAATAGGTGTTGTTAGTTCATGTCTGGCATAATTTATTTTTGTAAATTGTTTTGTTATAAATTAGGCCGTTAGATTTCTCGTTTGAATTGTTTTACATTTTTTCATGTCAGGACCTTGTATATCTGACTATAAAGATACGGTATGGGTTTTTCTCATTGTTGAAGGCCGTACGGTGACCTATAATTGCTTATATCACCTAATTAGAACTCTGGTGGATAGTTGTCTCATTAGCAATCATATGACATCTGCTTATTTTTATATAGATAGGATGTACAGAATGTTGTGCCGAATTCACTATGTTTTGTTTTTTTTTTCTCAAAAGTAGTGACAAAGTCTGGAAAATTGATAACTATTAAGCCAGCCACATAAGGGTTTTGATTTGGGTTAATGCAATCCTTACCCCCAAAAAAACATAAGTTTCTGAAATTAAATGAAAGGATAGTTAATCAATGTATCAAATTTAACCTCAAATAATTGAAGAAGATCTATTTGAAATATCCACAAAAAAGGGAATATCTTTAAAAAAAAATCACTAATAGATATGATTTTTAGTACGAATATATAATATCAATATTATCAATAAAATGACCCTACATATCTTAGAAAAAATAAATATTGATGCTTATAAAATATATCAATTCTTACAGTGCAAAAGACACTTTTCAGATCAGAGTTTCTAAAACAGTCAAATTATTATTTGAAACACATATTTAGTCTATACGATAAACTTTAGAATCTACAGGTGCAAAGCTGAATTTTACGAAAATTTTAGTTAGATTCTATAGGGTTGTATATATAATTTTTACAGACTCGACAGCATTTTCACAAGCCTTTGCTGGTGGGCCTGTGGTTGATCGCAAAGACTGCATATTATAGTAATTCAGTATTTTGATAATGCACGTGTGACGACTCATGTGTGCTGACACTTCCACCAAACTCTGTAACACACAGTGTTCATGTAAACAATGTTGTATATTAAACATAGTTCATAGAAATTTGGTTGTCTCTATGATATGCTATGGGATATAAAAAACATTTTTGGTACATGCTCTTTTTCTTATAATAAAAGTCCAGATAGAAATTCTCTGATTAGTCAAAGCAGTACTACACTTGTTTTTTGTTTTGTTTTTGGGTTTTTTTTGGGGGGGGAGAAGGGGGAGGGGGCAGTTTTAGACTATTAAAATAGTTTGTGTTTTTTTGTCATTCTAATGGTCCTTCAAATTCATTAACTAATCTCTTCCTTAATATAGATTTACAATAAATTTCTGGATGTTAAAATGCCATCAACAAATCACCCAGTTACTAAACAAAAATTTACTCAAACAACTTGGTGCGAACTTAAAGGATCCTGGCCTGATATTTTGGCAAGCAAGATTTTTACAGAAAAATCAATGCACAATCTGTTAATGATTGATTGCTTGGTGTTTAACTCCACTTTCAGCATGCTGGCTATTTCATGGCGGCTAGTTTTTATTGGTGGAGGAAGCCACATTACGTGGAGAGAAGCACAGACCATCTACAGGAAAACTGGTAATCCTAGTCAATTAAGATCAGATTCAAAAACACAATGCAGAAGTGGGGTTCTTACTCACAACCTGTGTTGATAGGCTAGTGATGACTGTACAGAAACTACTTAAACCACTAGGGCACCGAGGGCCTTACAGTCTGTTACTTGTTACCTTTAAACAAAAATCACAAAGAAGAATTATAACAGGTTCTGAATACATACCATCCGAATCTCTTCTGTCTCTTCCGGATGCTGATGCCACAGATAAATGTTTTGTCTCAACAGTTGAATCCTCTTCCAAGTATATATTATTAGAATTTAGATATGGTTTTGTGTTCTTTGAAACACTGTTTGTAAAGTGTGAACATTTCAACTCTTCTAAATATTTTCGACTAAATTTTGGATATATTTTGTCATTAGCAGATGACTGTTTTGTTACAGTAGGTTCACTAGGTAAAAACACATCGTCCTCTTCAGAATCAGTTTTAAGTAGAGCTTCTTGCAGTTCGTCAGCAAGACATTTCTCATTTTTAACTGTTGGCTTGTCTTCTTCTACTGGTAATTCAGCTGTAATGAAGATCAATTCCAATCACAATACTTAAATCATGACTAATTTTTAATCAAAATATTAAAATCATGTTTAATTCTAACAAAAATACTAAAATCAAATTTACATCATCTTAAAATCATTATTTGACAAATATCAATTCTGATAGTTTGCCTTATAATGTGGCTAAGGTTTTATTGGCTATAATCAGATACAGAATTAGTAACTTGTTCCAAACAGAAGAAGATATTAAATACCTAAGACAAGGAATTAAATAACAGTATGGGTACTCAAGTACCGATCAACAATTATTGCTTCATGTTGATTTAGTTTATGATACTGTTAAGCTCTCTATAACTTTTTAGAAAGGTTAATAGATATAAGAAGATGTGGTTTGAGTGCCAATGAGACAACTCTCCATCCAAGTCAAAATTTATAAAAGTAAACCATTATAGGTCAAAGTACGGTCTTCAACACGGAGCCTTGGCTCACACCGAACAGCAAGCTATAAAGGGCCCCAAAAATGACTAGTGTTAAACCATTCAAACGGGAAAACCAACAGTCTAATCTATATAAAAAAAACGAAAAACGAGAAACACTTATGAACCACATCAACAAAAGATAACTACTGAACATCAGATTCCAGACTAAGAACAGGTGCAAACAATTGCAGTGGGTTTAAACGTTTTAATGGTACCAAACCTTCATCCTTATCTGAAACAATAGTGTAACATCACAACATAGAAAGACACACTATAAAATATCAATTGAAATGGCTTAACTCAATCAAAAGACATATTAACACCAGTGAACATACACTGAACAAATAAATTTGATCTATGATACAATGTAAATGCAAAATAAATGTACATGTATCAAGATAATTCAAACCAAAAACTAAATCAAGATTAATTTTGAATAAAAATACTTAAACCAAGATTATTTCCAATTAAAATACCTAAAGCAAAACATTTCCAATTATCCTGTTAATGTTTACTCAATCCCATTTCCAAAGGCATTTCACATGAAAGAAAACTAGAGTCTCACATGGCATCGTATTGATTATTTGATTACTATGCCTAAATTGTATGGAAATCTCCTTATTTTCAAATACATTGCAAAAAAAGACTCTTTCTAAAGGCCATACTGACTTCACCTGTTTACCATACTAATCAAATAACCAATAGTTGAAAATGGCCTTGCAGAGAGCCTAGATGCAAACTACATTTGCTCGTATGCCAGGCAAAAGTTCTCAAGATGAATCCAAATTAAAAAAAATTTCATAGCCTCCTATTAAATTAAATTCAACACTAACGTCTTATTAAATTAATCGCTTTTGATGGGGGGAAAGGAGAAGGTTCACAAAGGGTTAAAATTGGCTCTTAGATTTTGATGTTTTTTTTAATCAGGCCCAAATACTACAATATTGACATAGAAATAGTTGTGATATTACTATTAATACAATATACTTCATTTTTGCATATCACATTAAAAATAACTAAGTTTTGACTCCTCAAGTATGCACTATCAGCCTTCACGATTAACTTTTGAGTCCACAAGCCTGAAGCTCAATTTTTTTAAATTTTAGTTGGATTCTGTTGGCTTGTAGAGGGAGTTTTACAAGCCCGAAAGCAATTTTACAAGCATGGGCCGTAGAACTTGTGGTTAAGTGTGAAGACTGCACTATTTGTGTTGTAACGTCAGCTTTGGTCAAATTTTCAATAATTCTTAACAGTTTTTTGCATAATTTACTTTGGCAGCCACCCATGATCAAGAAAGTTTTTGTGTCTAAGGAATCAATATCATCATTGGCAACTTTTTGTTACAGAACATTATGGATCCTAGGTTGCGGCCAAAGATTTCCTCAAGCTTTTAGGTCCGAAAAATGCACTAAATCATAGTAATTTAACAATATATCCAAAATGTGCTGATTCTGAAGCCAAAAATGTACACTTATGAAGAGATTTACTTTAACAAAGAAGTAAATAGTTATTAAAGGTACCAGGATTATAATTTAATAAGCCAGACTTTTGAAATATACCCATTTAAGAACCAAATTATAGCAACTTTGAAATTTTATGATAAAGTTGAAATTCAAGGCCATATTTGGCCTAAAGTGAACCTTGTCCTTTGACCATATGATATTTGTATGCCTGCCTGAACCAAAAAAATCTTTTAGTATAAAGTATCCCATAAAGGAACATTTCTATTATATTTTCATTCAGTTTGTCAAGTGAATTTCCAGATCTACTGTGGATTCATTTATTTTCGTGGGTACCAATTTTCATGGACTAACTAAAAATTGTATTTCCGTGGATATTTGATTTCATGGTTTTACAAAAGTCGGCATACAAGCCTTTAAAAAATATGTAGAACATTGAACATATAAATTTGTGGTTCACTTGTACCCAAGAAATCCACGAAATTTTTTTTTCCCATGAATAATAATGGTATATATTTCCTTTATACTCCAATGTTAAAATAAATAACTCATTTGAGTTGTTACAGGTTGGTCTGTCTGTCAAAGCAACAACAGTGAGTTACAATTTATATAAGTATCAAAAAGGGAACCTTTCGTTAATATTTGTTTTTTATTGCTTTAGTGGTTTGTATGATTTTTCTTACATATTTTCTTTAGGATCCAATAAAAGTTTAAGTTCCATACTCACGCCCATATTGGTTGGATAATTTGAACCATAGTAATTATGTGAGCCAAAATTTGTTCCTGTGAAAAAAGTTCCAGTGGAACTTATATCACAGGAAATATGTTCTGGGAGAACTTTTTTCACAGGTAATTTCTATATAATTTGTTCCATCTCTATAAAATAAGTTCCACACTTTACCTGGTGAAATAAGTACCGGGTTGGTGAAATTTGGTCCTTACCTAGTGAAATAAGTTCCGGGTTTATGAGATTTGTTCCTTACCTGGTGAAATAAGTTCTGAGTTTGTGAGATTTGTTCCTCACCTGGTGAAATAAGTTCCTTGTCTGTGAAATATGTTCCACTTGTTAAACAAGTTATCTTAAATACTGAGCATTTGTCATCAGTGAGTTTAAAGTTATCATTCAAGTGCATTATAAAAATAAGTATTATATTAATAATATAATAGATTAAAAGTGTAAATCATCCAGTTTGGATCCTATGGAGTATAGGAAATGTTTAATTATATACTCTGTAAAAAATATCTAAATGACACTTTTGAACCAGAAAAGATTAGAATAAGAAAAATCATTCAGAAAAAAAGTATAGTTTAAGAGGAACATATGTACTAATTTGAAAAGGACAAAGTGACTTGATCATTTATAAATATCAAAAGACATGTAGAAAAAAAAGACACACTCTTTTGAAACTGTGCCATGTCCTAAGTACATGTATGACTAGAACACGGGGCCATATGACAGTTAAGTTGAACTGTTAACAGGAACCAAGGAGGAATACCGCATAAAACATAAATACAAATTATGATACATTACCATCGCTTTTATTTCTTATCTTCATCCTATAGTTACAGTCATGCCTTCAATTGCAAATGTATCCCATGCAAGTACACACAGTACAGCATTTAGCTTGCATTATAATTTAAGTGTAAATGTTTCGGTGTGCAATAATGATTGAGCGAAACTTATTCATTAGTTTCTAAGAAATATTTACATGTTCGTTTAAAACTAATGTCACAGGAACTTATTTAAAACTTTTTAATATTAATTGAAACAAAATTCATGGAGCTATGATTTTTGCTCTGGAACTTATTTCACATTTGGCCAAAAAATTAGTTCCGGAACAAATTTTTCAGAGCTGGAACGTATTTTCTGTGATATAAATTCGGGTGGAACATATTTCCTATGAAATTTGTTCCGGCGGAACAAATTTTTTGTTACAATTACACTTGAAAAATTTCTCACATATTTTCTTTAACTGCCTAAACAGCACTTAAAAATATAAATAAAAAATATATTTCCCAAAAGTTCCAAAGAAATATTAAGTTCTAAGATGTAGACTATATTGGTTGGGTGGACCACCCATGTCACAATTCTTAACAAGAAATGATTGTGAAGGGATGCGGTTACGAAGTCTCCCAAACAAATCCCCTTAAGTATAAACCCCTAAGGACTTTCCCTATTGAATAAATTGAGAAAAAAAAGTTCAAGGTCAAAGGTCAAGGTCATAATTGAACATTGACCTTTCGACCTTTCAGTATGTTCCCATGGTCATTACTGAAGACCCCATGTGTCTATCACTAACTGTTCTCAAGTGATAATTATTTGATAATAAAACATTTTAAAATCCCATAGGGTTCTATAGTAAACTCCTCCTTTCTTTATGCCCCTCAAAGTACCCCTTTATAAACCCCATTGCACAAACAAAACCCTGATTACACCACTAGGCATGTTAGTCTAACATATTGGGGATCCCTAAGTTAATCTGACAAACGGTTTTGGAGACTGGGTGCGGACAAGTTCAAATTTAAAAGAAAAGAAGAAGAAGAAAGTCACAACACTCACTAGTCAATATGTTTCACAAGTTTTGATTTTTAATCTAACCTTGTTACCATAGTAATTGACCAAAATGAACCATAGTTTCATTTCTCATTTAGTACTATATATGGAATCTTTCTGTTATACATTTGTATTTATTGTCTCAGAGCTTGAAAACTAGAAGATCTAGAACATGGGTTGTAACAATGTCACCCATATTCATTATCAAATTGGAGGCAAAGTTAAAAATTTTAGTTCAACCTTCAGGAAAATATCTACCCAAGATTTGGCTTACTTGCAAAACAGAAGTTCAAAGTTTTTATAAAGGAGGGTCTGGATGGGGAGTCCTGTATTTCTGTATTCTCTAATTTTTTAAGCCATTATTCTCTAGTCTTCTTTTTTTGGTCCATTTTTCTCTATTCTTTATATTTTTTGTCTATTATTCTCTATTCTGTAAACCCCCATCCACACCCTCATAAAGGATGATCGATAAATAAGATTCACTAAAATCAAATTTATTTAAATTGCATAATCTAAGTTATACATGTACTAGGACGTGTCTTTAGTGAATAAAATAATATTGTAATTACATAACAGTATTCTGAATCGATGGTATCAATTTACTAATTATGATTAATCAAATCATAAAAACAGTATTAAATGAATTATTTCTTATTAATGAATACTCATTTTTCTACTTGTTATAACCTTATAAAAGCTTTATATTCAGAAATTAATTTCAGTAACGTGCAATAGAAATGGAAACATTAAACAATATTAATAATTCACTAGAGGTGTAATGAAACACTGATGGTATCGATCTTGTCCTAATTGACACCAGGTTATTGACATTTTAGAAATGGAATAAGGTAAACAAATCCTAGTTAAATCGAATGTATATTTTTCTCTCATTTAAAATAACAGCAATTTATTAAGAGGTACTTCAAGGTGAGTTTACAAACTTCAGTTGCATACTTAGTCAATGATTATTTTCAAAGCATAAACTATAACTTTATATAAAACGAAAATGACTTTAACTGCAGATTTAAATTTAATCAAGGCATCCTATTTAAATTTGGTCAAGACATTGATAGTCGCTTAACAAAAGGTGTTGTACCCCATATGCAGGGTTCTAAATACCATTTGGAAGAATAACCCTCTTACAAGTCTAGACAAATACCTGAAACACTTTGTTAAATTGTAAACCATAAAATTCCCCATACTGTAGAAAATCAACCCACTTATTATCTTTGTGAAGATTCAGATATACTGTGGGTTCATTTATTTTCGTGAATACGAATTTTCATGCATTAAGATAAAAATCTATTTTCGTGGATATTTGATTTCATGGTTTTGTCAAAGTCTGCATACAAGGCTAAAGAAAAATGTGTCCTTGAACGTTTACATTCATGGTTCACCTGTACCCACGAAATCCACGAAAATTGGTATCCGAGGAATAATAATGAATCCATAGTAATGCGAAAGCAAACTGTTACTCTAATGTTGTGATATTAAGTGTCCTACAATGTTTCATGGGAATACATTACATCAAACAAACAAAAAATTGGGTCATTTTGGTTGGTTTGTAATGATGGGTTGATATCTCAGCGACATTCATCTTTTCTGTTCATACATAGTGCTCCTGTTTAACATAAACAACTAAAAAATACTAAATAAGACTAAATAAACAGCTGCGCCATGAGCCCATGATACGCCTGTCGTCTTGTGTGTGAATTTTTATGCAATAATCATAAATAGTTTCTGACATACTGCGTGACATGAGAAAACCCCCCTTTTTTAAAAAAAAAACTCAATATCGCTAAAATAAAATTTTGAATCAAAACCAAAAAGTATACAGATCTTAAGATTAATATAACTAAGAAGTGTGTAAAATTTTAAGCAATAATCATACATCGTTTTTGAGATAAGGCGCGACATGTGAAAACCCCCCTTTTCAAAAAAAAAAAATCAATATCTCTAAAATAAAATTTTGAATCAAAACCAAAAAGTATACAGATCTTAAGATTAATATAACTAAGAAGTGTGTAAAATTTTAAGCAATAATCATAAATCGTTTTTGAGATACAGCGCGACATGTGAAAAACCCCTCCCCCTTTTTTTACAAAATACTCAATAACTCAAAAATAAAATTTTGAATCATCACCAAAAAGTATACAGATCTTAAGATTAATATAATTAAGAAGTGTGTAAAGTTTTCAGCAATAATCATAAATTGTTTTTGAGATACGGCGCGACATGTGAAAAAAAACCACACACCTGTTTTAGTTACTAAGTCCTGTAACTCAAAAAGTTTTAATCTTATTTTCACCAAAAAGTATACAGATCGTTTGACCATCACAAGAAACAACTATATTAAGTTTCATGAAATTTGGATAAGTCGTTCTCAAGTTACGATGCGACATGTTTACGCCGGACAGACAGACCGATAGACGGATAGACGGACAGAAGACATTTGTATACCATAATACGTCCCGTCAAAATTTTGACGGGCGTATAAAAAACTGGAAAATTACTTAAATGGGAATAATATTAGATCTGTATCACACTAAAGTAGTAAATATCAATAAAATGAAATAATTATCACTTGAAGGTCATTACCATTACATTGTCTAGGAATTTCTGGGAGTTTTCTTGGCCTCTTGGGAATTTTAAAACCATTTGAACTTTGGCATCGTCTGTTGTTTGGTAAATACTTATGAATTGTTTTGTCTTGAGATTTGTCTAGATCCTGAAATAAAGATAAAAATTTGCATTAATTTTAGTAGCACTTCAAAACACCATCAAAAATGTTTTTCCAAAGTTATTCAATTTTACAGCATTTTTACGTCAGAATTGGTAATGTAATAGATGACATTCTACTTATTATATTAAGGAGCATAATGACTCACAAATCAACACATGATCTGTTAAATTTTGATAAATATATCGATTGGGACATAAAATAGTTGATTAGAAATCAGATATACAATCTATAACGGAAAACATTTTCTTAAATGGAACATCCTACAATAACAACTGTTGGCATCCAGTGATCAAGGTCAGTCAAGTCAAAAGTATATCGTAATAATATTGATAAATTACTTACTGACGTCAATTAGTTAATATTCAAGTAATATTTCAAGGGGGTATTCTTTAATGGACATATTTGTCGAATGGGACCAAATCAATAATATATTTCTAAAACAGCAGAAAAAAATAAAATATGTGTGATTCATATAATAACAATGTACTGTGGATTCATTAAATTATTCGTTGGATACCAATTTTCGTGGATTTCGTGGGTACAGGTAATCCATGAATTTAAATGTTCAACAAATTATAGATTTTCTATAAAAATGTATGCAAACTTTAGCAAAACCACGAAATCAAGTATCCACAAATGCAAGTGTTTCTTAATCCAAGAAAATTGCTACCCACGAAAATAAATGAATCCACTGTACCTTATAAGGCAAAAAACTAGGTAGGAGATTATGGAAAAATATTACTGTTTCATTCTTTAAAAGAAATTATGTTGGCTTTCATGTTATTTGTTTTCATCATTCAGCAGAGCAGTTTATCATTGTAATGTAATATAGTTGATTATACAGCAAGAAACATATGTATAATTCACCCTGCAATTAGCTATTGTACAAATAACAGGTATTCAAATAAATGTTTGCTTTATTGAGAGGGAACAGTAATGTTAAAAATTTCTGTTTACATCACAGTTTATTTTGTTGCTCTCTTCATGCTCCATGGTTTAGTCATGTCTATTTATATAAAAATCAAAGACTGATAAAAAGTTAAATGGAATAGTGTCACAATTAAATTGCTGGATAAAAACAATATATGAGCTCACTACTACTGAAACAGTGGAAACAGTGTTTCTAAAGCTAATATAAATAAATTTTATATGTACCAACAATGCACATATAGTTTTTTTTTATTTTGACCCTGAATCCCTTTATGTAGTTCTGTGTCTATTTATGAAGTAAAACAACATAAACATACCTCAGAAGTTACAGAACTTGTCCTTGCATCAGATTTATTTTCTTGGCATTCTAGATACTGTGAATTTATAACATTATTTAATTTCTCTAGAGCTTTCTGTTGGGAAACCAGTATATCTTCTTTATGTTGGTACCCTAATTTATCCTCTGTTCTTTCAATGTGATTTTTAGGTCTACATCTGTCAACAGTTTTTTGTTTTGTTTGTGATAAGCATGAGAGTATATACTGTTGTTTGGCTGAGTAATCACTACCACCATCTTCTTCATATGCATTATCAGGGCTGATGTCATGAACAAGTCTGAAAAAAGATAGAATTATCAGGGCTGATATCATGAACAAATCTGAAAAAAGAACAAATTTTTATCAGGGCTGGTACCATGAACAGTCATGAAAAAGTCTGAAAAAAGAAAAAATATCAGGGCTGATTTCATGAAAAAGTCTGAAAAAAGAAAGAATTATCAGTGCTGGTATCATGAACAAGTTGAAAAAAGTATGAATTATCAGGCCTGATATCATGAACATGTCTGACAAAAGATAGAATTATAAGGGTTTGTATCCTGAACAAGTCTAAAAAATAAGGAATTATCAGGGCTGATATCATAAACATGTTCATTAAAGAAGGAATATTCATGGCTGATATCATGAACAAGTCTGAAGAAAATAATGAATTTTTAAGGGCTAATGTCATGAACAAGTCTGAAAAAAGTATGAATTATCAGGGCTGATATCATGATCAAGTCTGGAAAAAAGGAAGAATTATCAGGGATGATATCATGAACAAGTCTGAAAAAAGATAAATTATCAGAGCTAGTATCACAAACAAGTTTGAATAAAAGAACAGACTTCCAATGTCTACCGCATTGATCATATTTTATCTATCCAAGGTATAAGGGCAATAACTAAAAAAAAACACTTTTGTTTGTTCTTTATAACAATTATAAATATCTTAGAGAAATGAAGGCTTCAGAGCAAATGCAATTTTCCGTATAATCAATATTTCCAAGGGACATAACTCTTTTAAAAATAACTGATTGCATTGATTTTCATATTTGTCTGAAACATTGATAATACAAACCAATAAAATAAATTTCATAAAAATCTGGAAAGAATTGTACACATGAGATTGCTAACAATGCAATTTTCCATATAATCAATATTTCCAAGGGACATCACTCTTTTAAAAAAAATTGATCGGCACTGATTTTCACACTCCTCAAAAACGTATAATATAAATTTCACAAAAATCTGGCAAGAATTGTACACATTAGAGTGCTCTTAAGGCAATTTTCCATATAATAAATATTTCCATGGGGTATAACTCTTTTAAAAATAATTGATCGGCACTCATTTTCCAACTCATAAAAGATATTGCTGATATAAACCTATGATATAAGTTTCATAAATTTCTGGCAAGAATTTTACACATGAGAGCGCTAATATTGCATTTTTCATATAATCAATATTTCCAAGGGGTATAACTCTTTTAAAAATAATTGATCAGCACTGATTTTCGAACTCGTCCAAGACATTGCTGCTATAAACCTTTGATATAAGTTTCATAAAAATCTGGAAAGAATTGTACACATGAGAGCACTAATGATGCAATTATCCATATAATTAATGTTTCCAAGGGGCATAACTCTTTTAAAAATAATTGATCAGCACTGATTTTCGAACTCATCCAAGACATTGCTAATATAAACCTATGATATAAGTTTCATTAAAATCTGGCAAGAACTGTACATGTCAGAGCGCTAACAAGACCGGACGGATGGACGGACGGTCATCCGGTATTTCTATGTCCCCTGCAATGTGTTGCGCAGAAGACAAAAAAAGAATGAACTATCAGGGCTTATGTAATGAATAAGTCTGAAAAAAAAAAGAATTATCAAAGCTGATTTCACGAAAAAAGTCTAAAAAAATAAAGAATAAATTATCAGGGCTGTTATCATGAACAAGTCTGAAAAAAAGAATGAATGATATAAAAAAAGATGTACATGTTTGAATATTTATCATATCCAAGTAATTATCTACCTTGCTTTTCTATTCTTTATCAGTGAAGGAACCTTTAACCATAACACACTAATCTGAACTGTACAATTTTTCTTCAAGAAAGGCAGACCAATAAAAAACCTTTAAGATACCAATTTAAGGACTATAAAAATAAGCTGATGTGTTATGATTGCCAATGATACAACTATCTTCAAACTAAGTTCAAATGAAATGGATGTAAACAATTAGAATTTAGAGGCAATGGTACAGTCTTCAACGATGAGAAAAACCCATACGGTATAGTTGGCTATCAAAGGCCCTGACATGAAAAAATGTGAAAACTAACAGCCTAATTTATAACAAAACAACTTACGAAAAACAAATATGACAGACATGAACCAACGACAACAACTGAACTACAGGCTCCTGACTTGGGATAGGCACATAAAGAATGTGTGTGTGTGTGTGCAGGGCGGGGGGAGATATTTGTGAGAGCTCAACACTCCCCAAACCTGGGACAGTGGTGTAAAAATCAATTACTATGGGCTTAACTCAAAAGATATGAGGCACAAAAACAACTAATATAAAAACAATAGACACAAAGCACCGAAGAGTCAACATATTTCTTACGAAGTCGCTGGATCATTATGAAAAACAAAACGATACTGTACACAAATAAGATTCTACTGTGATTTCATTTTTGTCAAATTTCTGATGTGAATACAGCTGGAATTGCATACAGGTTGCTACATGTAGGCCCTGATGTTGGTGTATGTGCAAATAACTGTTGTTCAAAAGAAACTCATCTAAAACAGTAAGTTATACCTGTAGCAGAGAGCTTCTTATTAAAGTAAAAAAAAACATATTATGCAAGGAATTTGGAACTTCATTCCAGTTTAGAAGTTAAAAAATACAACTGACATATAATTTACTTTTCCCAAATGATCAATTATCAGGGCTTTAAAATAAGATAAATTTGAAATATTTTCAAAGATTATTTATGAAATATTTTACAATTTCAGCTAGGCTACAGGCCTTGGAGTAAATTGCATAGACGGACTACTGACACCCCCCCCCCCCTTTTTCCCCCACTTTCCTATTTTTCATATTTAACCAAGCATGAGTAAAAGACATCCTCCCAGACAGTATGATTATATGAAACTGTAAGTCCCGGAAGAATTAATTATAAATGCTATACATATATACATAATATTGTGAACCCAAATTTTCGCATATGAACATGTATATATGTAAATATTATGAAACAGTCATTGCAGGTATATAAATATGAACAATATGCTATCCTGATGGCAGACAACACACAATAAACATTACAAAATAAACAACAACATCAAAATACCTGAATGTCAAGTCTGAATTCAGAGGTCTATGTAATCTTAACATAATTCCAAAATTAGACTATTAAAATGTTCAATGTTAAGCTAGTGTTATCCTTATTCCATCATTAAGTGTCATATGCTCTTTTCCTTGCATGAATTAAAATTTGTGTGTGGGCTGAAGCATCCATTGACGTCTACATAAGACAATATATTACAGAGACTAAATCAATAACCTTTACCATATTCCTACTGGCTGGCTTCTCTGATTATGATAATTTGTAGAGAGAAATCAATATCATGTGATGTTAAAAGGAAAAATCTAATTGTTTTATTAAATCAGACTATTTACTGTTCATTTAATGATTTATTTGATTATGACAACCTTAACAGGCCATGCTTTGTTAATTCATTGATGGATTTAGTGGAATATTAGTAAAACAAATCTGAATCAGCGAAATCCCACAGCATTTTTTTATTTGAACATATTAAGTGGAATTTTTTTTTTTATTACTTTTTCAAAGAGGAATTTTTCATGTTTTAAAACTTTTATTGAAACCAAAATTTTGTTGGAATGAAATAATTATCATGTTTTGTGGTGAGTTATCTCCCCTTTTCCATTTGGGAAAGACTGTACAGTGTATATTGTATGATATTTTGATAAAAATTATTATTTTTTTTGGGGGGGTTAAAGATGAATAATCGAAACTAATACATGTATATAAAAGAAGATGTGGTATGATAGTCTGTTTGACCTCAATAAATCTTCAAAACTTATTCTAAAGTTTGAGTAAGTTAATTAACTGCCTATGTACAAATACATTGGAACCTGGACTAAAAGTATATATTTCTGAAATTCTTTTGAGTAACTCAATCAAATATCAAATGATGTTAGATATGAGTCTAGAACTCTCTCAGTGTGTTTGTGGTAAAACTGGTTGCTTGTTTGCCATGAGTGCAGGTTGGATTCCAACTGGTTCAAATCAAAGGCTTTACTGGTAAAATACATGCCCTTGCACCTGACGTTTAGAAGACAGAAACAATTGTAGCAAGTAAAAACATTTTCAGATGGATTAAATAAGCCATTATTACCTTTGAGCAAGTAGGATATATACATCAATGTAACTTATACAAAGAAAAAAAACTTTTTTTTTCATCTAGCAGCTGCCTAGGAGCCAAACCTGCCATTGCTGCCAAATATGGAAAATTAACATATGCACTATGGAAATTTTCCCCTAAAATTTATGACCTCAACCCAAAATTTAGTAGTCTTGGCTAGCGGGCCCCTATCAACCCTTTTTTCAAGCATTTTCATCCCATATTATCATGTTCATGTCCAGAACATGGCCTTAATATTGCCCACTGGATGCTAAACATTCATCTATGGGCAAGTTGAATCACTTGATTCAAATGTCATAGTAATTCACAAGTTATATTGAAATTAACATACTAGTAGTTCTGCTTCTATTCAAATGTTTATGGATGTCATAGCTATAATGTTGTATAATATTAAATTGTTTATCAAGAAAAATGCCTCAGAAGCTTATTAAACTATAATATTTAAGATGTGAATTTTGACCATACTTACTGCATTATAAACATAAGGGAACGACCATTTAACTTCAAGGGGGGGAGGTTTAGGGTTTTATATGGTTTTTTCCTAAAAAAATATTCTGTCCCCAATTTGATGAAAAAAATATTGTGGTCAAGCAGACGACAAAAACAAATATTCTGAATCCAGATTTTCCTTATAGTGTAAAATTTTGAGAAAAATAATTTGATTAATAGCGTCGAAAAACTAAAAAAGAATTTTTTGACTTAAACCATAACCACCCCCCTTGAAGTTAAATGGTTGCTCCCTAAGAATTAAGATGTGGTACCGATTGCCAATGAGACAACTCTCTTCCAGAGACCAAATGGCAAAGTATAAGTAAAGCTGACAAAAGTAATCTTGAACAAAACTTTAAAATTTTTCTTTCCAATTTTCATCAATTTTCAAGAATACCAAATCATAAAGGAGGGTCTGGATGGTGTTTACAGAATACAGAATAATGAGCCAAGACTACAGAGAAATGGGCTAAAAAAAAAAAGAATGGAGAAAAATTGGCCAAAAATTAGAACAGAAATTAATGGGGTGCTAAAATATGAATAATAGAGAATAATGGCCAAAATAAAGAAAAAATTCATGAAAAATGGTCTGTTTAATAAAGAAATGAAGACACCACCCCCTTTTACAAAATGTGTACATTAAATTCAGTGTGTTTGGAAAGTCATAAGCCTGATACATTATCTCTAAATCAACAAAATGGAAATAACACTTTGTAAATTTTGCCGAACTTTTCTGTGTAAAGATAATGATTTGAAGTTATGTCTGTTGAGATAAAAAAAGCATATAATAAAATTATATTTTAAATAAAAACAATTATCCAACTAGAACAGCTATATTAATTGATGCATTTCAAAGAAGACATTTTTAAAATGGGATACCCACATAATAATAAACTAGACAAATATCATAAATCTGTGTTTCTATCTATCAAATCTGTACTTATTGATATTTGTCAACCATTACAGTACATGAAAGAAATTTCTATAATCTTTAATTGTTTGATTTTTGGTGTATAATGCCACTTTCAGCGCTATTGGCTATTTCGTGGGGGCCAGTTTTTATTTGTGGCGGAAGCCAGAGGTGCCCATAGAGAACCAAAAGCTACCTACATTTGCGTGAATTTTAATTTTGACAGGTATTACGTTTGCACAAATTTACCTGTAATTTACCAGAGTTTTTACTTTTGTTTTAAACCTGATAAAAACATAATCAGAGAAGTCTTCATTCTTTGAACTGAATTTTGTAATACAGACCTGCCAATTTTTGAAAATCCCCATGGGGGTTTTAGTGTGTGACCAGACTTTTAAGGGTTACAATTTTTGCGGCATTTCTGTGCACAGTTTTTTACTCTAGAAATAGTCTCATATCTCTTCTTTTTTCTTTTGGTATACTGATGATGAGCTTATAAGCCTTGTTTTCTATTATTTCTTGTACTTATTAATTGGCAAAATAACTTAACTAATAGAGAAAAATGGTCTAAAAATTAAGAATACAAAATGAAGACACTCCCCCTTTTCCCCTCCAAAAACCTTTTAATCTTTACACCACTCAAAAGACCTAGATGTCCTATAGTAAGAAGAATTGAGACAGTTCTTGCGTTAGTAACCAGTTATGAGAAAATGGATAAAATTTGAGTTATCTTTCTTTGAATTCAGAGGTGCTTATACACAGTAGAAGTGAATATTTTGGGGTTGATTTTAAATCAGAACTAGACAGAAACACGTCTGAGTTCAAAAATTTTAACGGATTTCAACATAAACGGTGTTTCCTAATGAGTTCAGTCAGGAACATATATATTGACTTAGATATACTGTTCCCAGGTTCAGTACAGTTTTCGTCATTCAGTTAATTACTTTTTGTCATGAGACTACGGTAAACGTTGCAAATTGTGTTCATATGATAAATTGATGAAAATGCTAACTGACCGAATTTTACAAATTAATTAATTTTAAGGATATTATGACCTATCAAATAAGAAGATTACCTATAACAACAAATTATGACACCTGTAGTGACCATTGATTAGCTGGGGTCGTAAACTTGTCATAAACATGTCACCAGGTAAAATTATAGATTGATAGAAATTGATCAGAAAAACTTCAAAATTGGTAACCAACAAATTTTTCGGCCAGATTTTGTGAAAATCAGGATTTTGACTTGTTTTACAATCCCGCAAACGGGTTGAGGCATGAAAATTGGGATGATACTGACAAAATTGGGATAGTTGGCTGGTCGGGCCCCATCAAAAAAGAACATACTGGAAAGTAGTACAGATTTGAAACAAAATAGTTCCTATGCATAGGTGTAAATATAAATCTATGTAGAATATATTTTAGTAATTAAGTCCTTGTTTGCACATTTCACAAGCAGGGGTAACTGTATTTTAAAATATGTAGTCACCTAACGGTTAACCTTGGCCTTGCAGTACAATTAGAATAATTTGTTGTCTCTCAGGATTGTGCTCATATTTTTTCCTGTACTCAAAACTTACATTCAAGATCAGTTCTGATCTGTTATTTCCATAATTTCTTGGTTCATCTCCAGCAAATCTCACCATTTATTTTATTTTGAACTCTATATCCTCACGTAAAGTATCTCCTCCGGATATCAAGGACTTAAAAAAATTCCATTGGTTGGTCTCAGAGATAGTAAACAACTACGTACTATGCTTTATTTCAAAAATCATGATTGTTTCAATTATGTTTTAATTATTTAATAAACGTTTTTACACTTTTGGTATTTAGCTATATTCTGCCTCCGAATGACCTTAGATCTACTCCGAATCACCTTTTGACGTCAGGCAACAATCACTTTTTAATTGTGACGTCAAATGTTTTGAATTATGATGTCAAAGTTTACGGGAACCTGTGTGATTTTACGTAATGGCGGACAAATGTGCATACAAGTGTAAATACGTCTATTAATCCATATTAAAAACATAGTTAGTTTAAAATAGGTACATTTTGTGCAAATATATCGCAGTGAGAACACATGACCTTCGATAGGAAAACTGGCAATCCTTGACAATTAAGATCTATTTGGAATGCACCTACTATGTAGGGGTTCGAACTCACAACCTCAATGTTGACAGGCTAGTGATTAAGAAGTATGAAAAAAAAAGAAACACCATAAAACTTCCCCCACTTTCAAAATTAAGTTGTTCCCCATGATGGATGTATTCTCTCAATTACCTATTGTATTTCCTACTGTCTATATGCAAGCCTAGATCACAATGTAAGTTTAAGAACTTGTCGTTGCCGTAAAAGTTACTGGTAGAGTCTGAGACTAGAGTGTTTTGAGGTGGGTTTTTTTCTGGTTTTTGACTCGGTTTTTGGCTTTTGCAGACGAAAATTACGTCATGCCAAAAATGCAATTTTCTTATTTCATCCTATTAATTTTTTTAATCATAAGATGAAATAAATGTATAAAATATGTTTTATCAGCAAATTCAAAATTTGTTAACTTTATCTTAATGTACAGCAATGAAAGCTTTGCGACATTGTTTCCGAGCAAATTGACGACTTACGGTAGTTAGTTCTCTCCGAAGGTCAACGAAAATGCTGTCGAGACTAGCATTAAAATCAGGTAATTGTCGAAAATTTTGAGTGTTTTTGTTGTCGACAGAATGCAAAACATTACCTAATAGTTAACAGTATACGTTGAAATCGATAAAATTAACTATACGCAACTGAAAAACGCATATTGAGTGTGTCAAAATCTGAGCTCCAAAATCTTCCTATTTTCTGTTGTAAAATATGCCGGTATGTTACTATATCTATATATTAACATAAAACAGGATTGAAACTAGTTTAGAATGCAACAAGTTTTTTAAATGGTCACAAACTCTTATGGAAACTGATTGCAGTTCAACCTCGCTACGGGTTTTGAGACAAAATTATTAAACGGGCCAGGAATAACCATTAATTTGTGAATTATATCTCAGTTGAGGTATAACCCACCATTTGACATGAATCCGGGTCCGTTTGCCCAAAATCTCCTTTGCTTCCATTCACGTTCGCCCCTTTTCAAAGGTTTTGTGTTGAATATGTTTTAACCTAGTATTAGTTAATGTATTCCTAAGAACAAAGATGATAATTTATTTCTATTGTTTTAAAATGAAGTGACATTCTAAAAACATAAACAGGTTTCCTTTGTATCCAGCTAGCTAGTGGTATACTGTTAATTTTTAATGTGGATTTTTTCAGGTTCTGTTGGGAGGCTTTGTGTATTGCAGAGGTAAGTGTAAAAGCATGGCATAACTAGATTTCCATGTAATGGAGAAGTACATGTATTGGTATTTCCTTAGTCAATTTATAATATTCTGATTGATCCCATCCTAAACAATATCATTGTAGTTTGAGTAATGTTCATGACCCAAAATTCCAACACACAAAACAAAACCATAAGCAAATTAACAACACAGTGCCACTTATTAATTTCAGAGTCACAGTAAGGCATTCAACATGATGATAAGCTTGCACAGTACATCACTGCAAGATCAAAGTGGTCTGTAAAATAGCACCAGCATGTGCTGAATTCTTTGCATAATGCTGATAATGCTACTACTGTGCATTGAAGATGTGAATATCAAAAAATTACAGATTATATTGCAGAGAAATATAACAAATACTGACAAAACTAGAATTTAATTCCTTTCAGGCCTCTACAATAACTTTTTTTTCAACTTGCCCAATAGGACAAGTACACATCAAAACTTACTTGTCCGAATGAAATTGTAACTTGTCCAAAAAAAAACACTTAATATTAACCTTTTTTGCATTTTAAGTTGATTCAATGAACATAAGAATAGAATTTGATTTATATCTCTTGATATCCTTTTCAAAAATATGAGTCGAGAACAACTGAATCAAGTCATGTCACAGGATTTAGGTTCTAGTTTTCATCAATGCCAAAGTCTCATCAGACTCTGCACATGAGGCACAGTCTGGTAGGCCTGTCAGTCTACACTCATTTGGTGTATCCTGGTCTTTCATGTTGTTAAAATATTGATTATTATGATTAATGCCTTACAACAAACAGCTTTGTTTTTAATATATTATGGTCAATAATTTCTTCATTTTTTTATTTTTAAAAATATTTTTGTTAAATAAAATTTATCATATTTATTATAAGCAACAGAAAAAGGTAGGGAAATGAGGTACTGGTTGGCTTGGTATGAAATGTCTCCTACGGTGCCATACTGTCTATTAAACATGGAAGGATTGGTTTCCGTGCCGGTGCCGAACTGTCTTGTTACCTTATCTACAAAGGCATTCTTGATTTCATCTAAGACTGGTTTCCGAGAATATTACGCGTTTTATCTGTTATAAAGTATCTGTCAAAGAACCAGTTTTAAATTATCGATTGCAAGTAAACATGGTAAACATGTCAAATTAATATTTGTTTTTATCTTTTCTTGTTTTTTGTTTATTACTCAATACTTTGTTCATCAAAGTTGGATTTAATTTATTTTCTACAAAATGATTTTACTTGTCCCGTCGGACAACCTTGATCTAGCTTTTACTTGTCCGACCTTTTTTTCCTCTGGTACCGGACAATCGGACAAGCGTTATTGTCGAGCCCTGCCTTTTCACAATGACTTTTCAGTGCATATTCTTTTTTAAAAAATCTCTCTGTTCAAAGAATGACTTATGAAAATAATTAAAATGAGAAAATTGACAGTAGAATTATGTAATGGTGCAATACATGCTGCGGATTCATTTATTTTTTCGTGAATTGAGGGAAATTTATAATTTCGTGGATATTTGATTTCATGGTTTTGCCAAAGTATGCATACAAGCCTATTGAAAAATTGTACTTTGTTGAACATTTGAATTTGTGGTCCATCATTTACCCACAAAATCCACAAGATTACTTTACAACCCTGCCATATATTACCTACAATCACCATCATTCAGGCTACCCTTAGAAAATTCTTTGTTTGATGTTGCCTACCCATGTCTTCTAGCTTTAGGTAGGTAGGTAAGGATATTTTTTTGGCCAACAGCATAAGTTACATGTTTTAGACAAGAAAGTGACCTAAGAGCAGGAAAAAATCTTTTAAAAAAAATTTGAAACGATTTGTGTCATAAAATTTTTCGGGTAGTCTGCTTTTTAGGTGGGTAGGTAGGCAACATCAAACAATTTAAATTTTATTTTTGACCTCACTATGAAAATTTACCAATTAGAGTGATTTTTAACTGATACACCCTGATCTCATATGCTTACAGATGCCTACCACAGATCACCGCAAGACCATCCAGTTCTGATTCAAAGACACCAGCAGTTGGAGGTGATAAACCCTTACCTGTCCTCCCTCAGCATCAGGCAATGATAGAGGACATGGTAAGATGGACAAAAGCCAATGAAGTATTTTACGGAAAGGATAGAGATACAGTCAACTTTCCAATATTAAAAATGTCGCCAGAGAAACCTAAAATGAGATTTTTAGTAATACCTCAGGAGTGGTTTGATGCCCTGTATACAAGGACAGGAGTAACAGGTAAATATGTGCAAATATCTTGCTTTGATTTTATAGGAAAATAAGAGATCAGTGACTCTTTTCACAAAAAATCTTACGATTAAAACTGATCGTAAGTTATACTGAAATGTGTATGACTTACGAGTATTTTCATTGTTAAGATTTTTTGTGAAAAGAGTCGCAGGCCTTTTGATCATGAAAATTTACTCAGTACTCCAAGTACAAAATTTGTGCTCTAAACACCAAGTCCAGTACTGTAAATTCAGAAATTATTGTGAGGTTTTAATTAATGCGAATAATGCAATCGGTGAGTATCGCAATAATAAGAACTCACATTCTGAATTCAATACATATATTTATGCAGGTTTTCCAGAAATCGCAATATTTAATCTCTATGTTTTGTCCCTTCTTCAAAAATCGCAATAATTTTTGAATTTACAGTATTTTGATTGGTTAATTTTTGAATATGAGGACTACAATCACACACAAAAATTGTATGACAACAAGGCAAGGATTCAAAAATAATGTAGAAAAGTCTTATTGGAGGGAAAATAGCCTAGTCAATTTAGCTCTAAAATCACTCAACCTCCAACTAATTGCAACACAAGGTTTTTTTAGTGCAAATTATAATATAGACTTGTACTAACAACATACTAAAACTATACATTAATATAATTTGCGGAAAAGGTTATTTTGGGGTGAAATATGTGGTTTTTAGAGAGAAAATGGTGAAAACTGGAAAAGAAGAATAATTGTTATCTATGTTAACATTTTTAGATCTAAAGCTTGTTGAAGACAGGAAACCTTATCTTAATAGACTATTATGTAGTCATCTAGTTATTATTATTGATAATGAAGTAATTTTGAGGTGAAATGAGTGATTTTTAGTGAAAAAACGTCGAAAACTGGAAACGTAGAAAATCTCCGTTGTTAATGGTTAATATTTTTGAAATTTGATCTATATAGAAAAAAGAACATACTATTTTATGTTAATTTTGTGAAGTCCTTTAGTTATCAATTTATTTGGGTAATTTTGGTTGAATATATGTTTTAAGACAGAAAACCGGCCCGAAAACTGGAAATGAAAAAATTCGGTTATTGATGGTTAAAACTTTCGAATTGGGATCTTAATAGAAAATACTATCTAATGTTTATCTTAAGAAGTCCTTTAGTTATTAGTATTTAAAAAAATGTAATTCTTGTGTAAAATGTGATTTGTAGAGAAAAATTGTGAAAAATAGAAATAAAAAGCTCAGTTATTCATGGTTAAAACTTTTAATATAGGATCTTTATAGACTGACTATATTATCTTATGTTTATATGCATATGTATTCCTCTTATTATCAATATCAATAATAATCAATTTGTTGTGTGAAATATTTTTTTTTTACGAACTAATTACAAACAAGAATGTGTCCATAGTACATGGATACCCCACCCGCACTACCATTTTCTATGTTCAGTGGACCGTGAAATTTGGGTCAAAACTCTAATTTGGCATTTAAATTAGAAAGACCATACCATAGGGAACATGTGTTTTATGTTTCAAGTTGATTGGACTTCAACTTCATCAAAAACTACCTTGACCAAAAACTTGACCACAAAACTTTAATCTGAAGCGGGACAGACGGACGAACGAACGAACGAACGAACGAACGAACAGACCCACAGACCGAAAAACATAAAGCCCCTAAGTGAGGGGCATAAAAAATGAAAATTTCAAAATCTTGGTTATTTCCAGTTTGAATTTTGAAAACGTAAACAGGGAATGTGTCAAAGAGAAAACAAGGCCACTATAATGGGTCTTTAACATAGCAAGTTAATCCGGTACACGGAGGTAGGCTTCAGCTGACCCCTTAATTATTTTGTACACTAGTTCAGCGAAATGGACACCACCTCAAAGGCCTTGAGTCGGTTTCACAAAAAAACTTGCGACTTAGATTGATCGTAATTCATGGACAATTCAGTATACTTACGATCAATCTTAATCGTAAGTTTTTTTTGTGAAATCGACTCCTGAACCTCCTGAACTCCAATACATACAAATGACCCAAAATTATCAAAAAAAAAAACAAACAAAACACACAATACAAACAAAGGCTAGATCTTGAGGTTCCTGACTTGGGATAAGTGCAATAATGTGGCTGGGGTAAAACATATTGTGTGAGAACTCAATCCTCCCCTAGTTTATCTAGACAATGTAGAATAAATAAACACACAGTAAAACTCAGTTTTAAAGAAGTGCATTTTGTGGAAGTTTGAAATTTTTATCTTATGTTTCTGTTATGTATTTATATATTAATTATACGTGTAGGTATAATAAACAAAACAAAACAAAAAAATGATTGTGTTAAAAAATAACTGACTTTGATTTTGTCATGTTAATTGCTGGAAGAGTTATTTTTCTAGTGTCCTTGCATCGTCATTGATTGTAGTCCTTTTTTTGTTTATTTTTTCATTAGCTGCTTTTTCAACATTTGAATTGTATAAAGTCACAGTTAAACACAGACTAATTTTATTTAGCAAGCTCTATCAATATCCAAGTTTGATTTCAGATATATAAGCTTTTTAAATTTGATAACATTTACTAGTTCACTGAATAAGCATGAAATATAGATCTGATATTTTTTAAGGCAATTTTAAGGGAAGCTTTGTCAATATGATTATAAGAGCTTGAATTTAAATAGTAATTGTACCAAGTGGTCCAATTTTGGATGTTGAAAATGAGATAAGCACTGTTGAATGAATTGATAGGGTCACTTCCTGGACGAAGTGTTAATAGTAACAGCACCTTATGTGTGTACCCAGTAAGGTAAAATCTGTATGTGGTGGTCTGAAACATCAACCAAATTATAATGACAAAGGACTATCATGGGTTGTCTGCTGTATGAAAATATTTTGGTCAAAGAGATATATATATATATAGAAAAGCATTACAAAGTTCCTTCTTTAAGATATCTCATTGAATTAATTTAATAAAAGGTAATCAGCTTAAGCCTAAGAACTGTAAAAAAGTGGACGACTTATGGTCAGAGTTAGCGTTTAGATAGTCATGTCTAATCTGAAAAATACACCTCATGCCTAAAGAATATAAATGTTTAGCTTTTAAGGTCCACTAAACTCTATCAGTGATTTCTTGGTAGTACGTTTGATCGCTTGCCAGTGAAACCATAATTTATTGTAAAATATCCCCACTTTAAAAACATAAGAAGATGTTGTATGATTGCCAATGAGAAAACTTTCCACAAGAGAAAACAATGATGTGGGTGTGGATGTTAACGACTATAATAGCTCATCGTTAAAATATAAAACTGTTAAGACAATAAATGGAAAAACAAATACGACAGACAGCAAACAATAACCACCAAATAATAAAGGGCCACTTTCCTGTGATAATCATATTAATAGTGTGCAGCGTTAACCATGTTTGCGAGCACTAAACCCTCCCATAATCAGGAACAGTTTTGAAATAGCAAACAACATAAGAACAAATGGTAAACTCAGTTGGAAAGGGCTCGACTCAAAAAGATAAGCGCGGAGTATATAACCAATTAACAAATAGACACTGAGTTCTAATAGCTAGTTCAAAGCTTATTACAGTTGATGAATAAATACTGTTGGCACCGACTAAAATATAAATCAGTACACATCCGATTAGCAACCAAAGTGAAAAGTGGATTCAGTGTTACAGCCAAAGCTTTATTTATATGGTGAGTGAGTACTGAGATCGTCGCTAATTACATGAGTAACCATTTGCTTCCAGGAGCTTGAAATTTTCATTTGTGAAAAAATATTTAACATACAATCATTTAACACTCATCATTCTTATTTTTTTATGAAAAACATTGTTGGATTCTAAATCTTAACATGTTTGTTTTCTTTATAGAGTTGTGGGGAATAAATACATTAAAGACTTTGAATTTCAAAATTAAGTCTTGCATTAACATTTTTTTTTACAAAGGACAAAACATGTGTTTCGAGAACCCCTCCCCCCAACAAAAAATTAACTGTCAGTGCCTTTAACACACGGGCAGAATTCTTTCAAATAGCGAGTAAGATTGTGACTAAGTTAGTTAATCTAATTCAGTACAGTTTTCCATTTATAGGTTACATACCAACACTGTGGTGGAGAATTAGATTCTTAGATTGTAAAATAGCAGAACACAATTGCGGTCTATATCTTTATTCAAATATACAAATTTTAAGACAAGAGAGTGATGCATTTGTAATATATTTTTTTTAAATTGAGATAAGTATGTATTGTATTGTATTATTTCAATTGTTTTAAAAAATACTGAATACTTTTTGTATAAATTAATTTTTTTCAACTTTGGCAAATAAGGGGAAGCAACTCATATAACCTTACTTTTACTACAAAAATATTTGATTAATTACACCACTTTCCGCAAAATATATTTTTGTATAATTTTTGAATGTTGTTCATAGATAGTAACAGACTTGTTTTTCAGAGAAAAACTTTGTGTTGCAATTAGTTGCAGGTTGTTCACTAAATTGACTAGACTAAAAGGCTTAAATATCAAATATCCTCAAAATTTTTCACATTTGCAAAATTCAGTTAAATGCTAGTCTTGAAATATCAGTAAATGCTGTAAAATGGAAAAGTAAAACTAAATTTTGACAGTTTGACTCAAAGGTGTTGAGAAATAATATACAACCCTTGCCCAAAGCAGTATACACATAGGAAGTTTTTTGTATCCCCATAGACAAAAGGAACCAAGGGTAGACATAGGAATCATAAATTCTTGTTGTTTTCTGTTCTTAACATTAAGTTAGTATTTGCCTGGATAAAGTTTTTTTAATACATCAATAACTTCGTCAAACAGTCACATAATTTTTCAAAACTTAGTTAAAAGATTTTTTATGATCAAGAGTTAGCAGCTACTCATGATCTGGACCATAATCTGGATTAGGAATACAATTTTTTTTATTAATTCATATTTTTTTTGCAGATAATATTTAAGGTATGGTCTGTGTTAAAATTTTATAAGACATCTAGAACTTTGTCAAACATTCTTTGAATTTTAGGAAACTTTGGCAGAAGCTATAAAAGGCCCTGAAATGACAAATGTAAAACAATTCAAACGAGAAAATTAAGGATTAGAGAAGTGTGCATTTGGTTGAATCCTCAAATAATTGCAGTGACTATTTTCTAGGTCCCTATTTGCTAACATATGGACTTGCAGCTACATTGGTCAGCAAAGAAATATTTATAGTTGACCACGTGTTTGCTGATTTGATGATGCTTACACCACCAGTTTTGTTGGCTACCTATTTTTGGGGACCAAAAGTTGGTACTTGGTTCCAGAAGAGAATTGATGTAAGTACATGTAACAATCTATCGTATTTCATTTTAAATTGTTTTCCACTGTGTACTTTTGGATTGATATCTGCTAATAAACTTTTTAAACCATAGGTCAGGGATGGATTTATTCTTCATCCCATAGCATATAAATTGAGCTATAGGTTGCTGATAGTTAACATAATCTTGGCACTTGATAATTTTTAACATCAGACTTCAAGATGACCTTTTGTAAAATTAGACATTGAGGTTGCCAAAAAACATTCTATTTATAACAAGTGCTCAAATAAGTTTTCTATACCTTTTTCTTCTAAAAGTTCATAACAGGAGTAATAAAATTGGCCTGTAAATTGTTGCCCTTTTTTACGAGCTTTATTGTGATTATCCTTATCTTCTTTATAAAATTAATTAAGAAACTTGAAATTTGTATGAGTTGAAGCCATCTGCTTAAAATTAAAGATTAAGTTAAATCAGAAGTACTGAATTTTAAAAATGTTTAGCCCAATTGTATCTAAGTCTAGAGATTTATTAATGTCAAATTAAATTTTTCCTTTGAAAAGGACCATATATATGGTATTATAACTGATGGTATTAAGAATATGCTTTTCTCAAATTATAGAATTTTTCTTTTTGTTTATTTACTGAGTTAATAATTGTAAGAACTGTTAATATATCATACACTTCTCAGGTTTTCAACAACTTACAACAAATTTAAAATAAGATTAATATTTCAATGATATTCTTCAGAGAAGAAAAAAGTTTAATAACAAAAATACTGAACTCCAAGGGAAATTCAAAACAGGAATGCATCAAACGAATGGAAAACAACTGTCATATTTCTGACTTGGTACAGGCATTTCCTTATGTAGAAAATGGTGTCTTAAACCTGTTTTTTTAGCTAGCCAAACCTCTCACTTGTATGATAGTCTAATAAAATTCCAATAAAATGTAATATACAGGGAGACTTTTGTATTCCATTTCAATTACTGTTGAAAAATACATTGATATTTTATTTTATGTTTTTAGAAAGAAAACCATTTGATCTATGAAAAACCAATAGCAGATACAAAGACTAGCTGTACTAAACAAATAGCCAAACTTGAGACTGCTAAAGAGGCATTAGATGCTACTAAGGATTTTGTCCATGCTCAGAAGGTAAAGTTTGGTGTTGTGTTTAAAAAGATGACATATAATAGGTGAACGAGAGGAGATCTGAGAGAAGTGTACTGGAGGGAAAATAGTCATGGAACTTGCCTTGGCAGCAGTCTATCAAAGCAAAATTTAGTTTAAATTTATGGAACATTTGTGGAAAAATAACTTTTTATTTCATGTTTAGGGTGTAGCTGTTTGTCTTTCGTTCTTGGGATGTACATGTATGTCTAAGAAAGCCCATGTGAGTTGTTGCCATCACTTGGGTCCGTCGTTGTCATCTGTTCATCTGTTGTTGTAAACTTTAAAAAAAAAAGTTCTCCTGAAACTACTGGTCTGAATATCAAAGATGGTGTCCTTGGATTTGACCCATCAATAGATACACTGTTACTAAGATTATATAACATAGAGGTAAACTGCAGTTTTCAGCTTACATCTCAAAAAGTAAAGTAGCTAAAGTAAAACTGTCAACAGTAAAAATGACCAGCAGGTCAAAGTCTTTCTCCTATGGAATTTGATATTAAATGAATTTTACCCTTTTTTGCATTTTTGTTGAAAAATTTGGTAGATAATGAAAAACTGTAAACATTTAAAATGATAAACAAGATTCTTTCAACAAAACCGAAATTGTATATGATGATTTTTACCCAAATTTTGTGTATTTAGCAAAAACTAGCAGTATTGTTGCCATTGATGGGGGATTTTTACAAGTTTTTTTTTTGTTTTCAGCGAAAACTATAATAGATATAATAGATAGAGAGAAATTGTAAATAGCATGGTAAATATTCAGTATAATGAGAAACTACAAATAAGTGAACATTCCCTGAATTGTCAAGTGACCCCCTTATAGGAGTTAAATGCCCTTTTACCTATTATCTCAAAACAATAACAATCATTGGACGACTCCTTATAGAAGTTATTGGCTTCAATTGACAAATTTTGCTTATGCCTGTTTTGCCAATTATCTTGAAGTGTATATTAGATAGGAAGAAACTATAATCAGTAAAATTTTGACTAATGAACCAATCAGACTCTAAGGTGCCTTGTGTTCATATTGCAAAGGATAAAATAGCTTAGATAGATTTGAGAAAATAATGGAATGTTTATATTTTCTGAAGCTCTTTTTCCAGTAATCCTGCTCTAAAAAAGGACTCTGAAATTATACTATAATTTTATTTTTTCAGGAGTATGTTTTGCTCCAACTTGAGGCATCTTACAGAGAAAGATTAAACAAAGTCTACACAGAAGTAAAGAAAAGATTGGTAAGTTTAATTTTTTTATATGCCCAGTGAAATCAAATGCATAATGTAGGGCCTGAGCAAACTTCAGATATTTAGAACACTATTTAAGATTTGTCTTGAATTCATGTTTTACAGTGCTATATGGATTTCTGTATTTTCCATGGATTCTGATTGGAAATATACTTTAATAGTTGCAGGTTCAAAATTTACAAAAACATTTAAACCTGGAAAAATTATAGTCTGTGTTAGGGAAGCAATTTTTAAAGGTGTAATACCACCATTGATTTTCCCCTATTAGTCTTTGTTAAATTTGCACTTTTCAAAAAATTGTGCAGAATTTATCTTTGTTTCAAATAAAGAAATACTTGGCATGAGTAAAGCTTTATCCTGTCCAATACGTTAGATAAAATTTCACATAACATTTCATTGCATATAAGAAAATAACCATCACTGGAAGTTAACCAATCAAATTTTCACCTCTTTTTTACCTGTGTACAAGCTTTAGTAACCATGTAACCTCAAGTTTCCAAAATATTCTATAGAAACACCAAATGAAAAAATAATGGTGCTTTGAAACACCCAAGATATATGTTTATGACCCAGAAATTTTTTACTGCAATGAAATGTAGGATTCATTTCCTACAACTATCAAATTCCAGGGAATATTTTTTTTCGACCCTTTTTTCGTATGCAACCGGATGTGACGTACTATGATTTGGTGGTATTACACCTAAACCTGCCTTACTTCTAAGTGTTTCCATCAGCAATTTCATAATTGTCAACCCATGTTCTGAGATTTTTACTAAAATTTTGAATTACTGCATTTTGAGAAATTGTCTGTTTATTTTTAGGACTTCAAGATGGAAGTTCAGAATGCACAACGTAGATTTGAACAAGAACACATGGTTAATTGGATTACATCCAATGTTGTTAAGAGTATAACACCAAAAGAGGTAAAATATTTTTGGAAAAGCACATAATTGTAAAGGTTTATTTCATAAAATGCATTTTTGAACACCCTATGTTTACTTATAGTTTTAACTTCTATTAAAGTCACATTATTGAAGGCCGTATAGTTGTTAACTTCTACGTCATTTGGTCTCTGGTGGAGAGTGTCATACCACATCTCCTTATTTTTATAGGAAGAAAAGTTAAATTTTTCATCATTGGTTGCTAGTAATTTTGGTTGAAGATCTGTGGATTCATTATTCTTTGTTGGATACCAATTTTTGTGGATTTCATGAATACAGCTGGACCACAAATTTAAATGTTTAATGAATTACAAATTTTCTATAGGCTTGGCAAAACCACAAAATTAAATATCCATGAAAATGCAAGTTTTCCTTAATCTATGAAAATTGGTTCCAACGTAAATAAAAGAATCCACAGTATGCAAAATGACTCAAAGAAAGTGTGATGGTTGTGGGAGATTTTGGAATTCCCATCCTATCCCCCCTATACATTTAATGGAATAGCCCTTATTTGGTAGACCCACTGACTTGTCTGATGCAAATTTTGTGTAACAAGTTTTTCATTGGCTAATGTTTACAGTCAAATCATGGGTAATATTTCCATTAGAATTCTTTCGATTAGAAAAGTATTGTATTTTACTAGCTCTCTGGGGTTCCACAATTGTAAGTACAGTTTTAAACCCTTCCAGTTCAAGAAAATTGGTGAAAACTTTATGTAGTATCAAAAATGAAAGCATCACAAACAAACAGTTACTTTTTTTACATGTCACTAGAAAGAAAAACATTAGTATCACATATTAAAACAGATTATTATGTGAGCTGATTCTTGTACATGTATTTAACAAGGGCAAATTAAATGCTCATGAGGATAATATATTCAGAGACATGCAACAATACTCTCTTTGGAAATCTTAACATTGTCTCTTACACTAGAACATGATAACTTTAACCTTCAGATATTCGTAAATAAATAACTCCACTAAGAAATGTTTGAATAAAGTTTTATTATACTTTCAGGAGGAGAAGAGTATTGCTGACTGTATAGCCAACCTGAAGAAATTATCACAGGCACAATCAGCAACAGCTTAATATGAACTTAGTGTGGACTTGATTTGTTATAAAATATTTAAATAAATTTGTGGAATAAATTATACGTTAGGACAATTTCTGTGGATTTGTATTATTGAAATTTCATTTCAGTGTCTTTGAGGTAAAGATTGCATGAAATGCAATGAAAATCCTTTTGTCACAGGCTTGATATATATATTTTTCAGACCTCATCTTCACATTTTAGAGAACAAACAACATAGTACTGCGTCTGAGCAGTGAAGGGAACTTTCTTTAGATCATCCATGTCGAGCAATTTATCAATGCTATATACTGGTACTCAGATTTTCAAGTTAAAAAATGGGGTGTATGTGAATAATCATACTTGTCAAGTAAACTATTACATAAGTTATACATAGTGTATGGATCTATCTGCTCTAAAAATATCTTCAACTACAATTACAGACGGGGGAAGATAAGTCTAATTTAGGATATTTTCTAAATATGTTCCATTGGTAATAACACTATGCAATGTGTAATTTCAAAATGACATGGCAAAATGAAAACAATCTTTACCTTTCAGTTTTCACAAGATCTTTAACTGTTTGCTATGGGCTACTGAATATGTGGTAAATATACACATGTAGATATATCAGACTAGGGCTCAAGGAGGTCCTGAACTTGGAAGTATAGCGTAAGCGTTTGTACACCTTTGTGTGACCTTTGGATTAAGAACAGAAATAAGAGCACTATTCCATTACTTTTGTCAATTGATATGTGGTGTATAAGTTGATGAGACAAAATCACTACACATTCTTTAAAAAGCATAAAATAAAGAAACAGTGCTATTATTGCTGTTCTTGATCTCAAAGTCATAATGAGGTCTTCAACATTGCACAAATATCCATAACCATTGGTTTGAGTCAAATATTTTGCCTGATGACCATCATGCTATTTCTGTGCATTGAAAACTCGGCTGGATAGTAATATCGACAAATTATAAACCATATAGGGCAAAGAGATCTAACAAACAATGTCATAATGTACCCTACTAGCTCACTGCAAAATATTTAGACAACAACAGGGCATAGCAAAGTTCTGTTATATATGAACTAACTTGGCAGAAATTTGTATGAATAGGGCAGATAATATAGATGGACTGCCTAATAACATTTACAGTATCAGATCATGTATAAGTATGTATTTTAGTGATGTGTTTTGTTGTTAAAAATCTTCTTTCAAATTATCATTCATATGCTTAATTTACATGTCAATTTTTAATTCCGTACCTGTAATGTAACTTACTTAAAAATAGCTGAAATGTTCAGTACAAATGTTGTAAAAATATGGGATTTTTGTTTAAATCCTATCCTTTTTCATATGAAATATATATCAAGAGTTGCCTCCCATATATCACTGATGAGCTCTAAGTACACACTATTCACTAAGAAAAAAATCGGCTGGCTTCCTTTTAGCAAAGGTAAACCAAGTAAATTCCATCCATATAACAAACACTAAACACTATTTATGCCATTACATTGACTGAAATAAAAACAAAATAGATGAAGAACTGCATTAAAAACACTGTCCCTTTTTGAAATATTGATTAATTAAAGTATTTGTGAGTTTTTTCTCTGGTAAAAGTATAGGTGTGACAACACCTTGTTAGAAATTCATTATGACAAACAAAATTTCAGATTAACAAAATTAAAAAAAACTAATTCTCAGTCATTAAATCCAGGAGTGATATGAACTTCTGGATGGATTATGATATCAGTAACAGGGGTTCATATACATGTCACATGTCACAAAAAATTTCACGATTAAAAAGTATAAGTTATACTGAAATGTCCATTTTTATTTCCATAACTTTACTCCTTTGATTTTTGTGAAAAGAGCTGCTGGGTCCTACCTTCATATTTGACTTGAAAACTTTATAAAATGCATTCATGTTGATTTTTATACGACCGCAAAAAACTTTTTGGGATCGTATAATAGTATGATGTCGTCGTCTGCGTCGTCGTCTGAAGACACATTAGTTTCCGGACAATATCTTTAGTTTAAGTGAATGGATCTCTATGAAATTTTTGAAGAAGGTTCAATACCACAAAAGGAAGGTTGGGATTGATTTTGGGGATGATAGTCCCAACCATTTAGGAATTAAGGGCCCAAAAGGGGCCAAAAACAAGCATTTTTCTAGTTTCAGGATATTAACTTGTGTATAAGTATTTTGATTGCTCTGAAATTGTACCACAATGTTTAATACCACAAGTAGAAGGTTGGGATTCATTTAAGGGGTTATGGGGCCAACAGTTTAGGAATTAAGGGCCAAAAAGGGGCCAAAAACAACAATTTTTGTAGTTTCCGGACAATAACTTTTTTTTGTGTGTAAGTGTATGGATCTCTCTGACATTGTACCACAAGGTTCCATATCACAAAGGGAAGGCTGGGATTGAGTTTGGGGATAATTGCCACAAACTTGTAGGAATTAGGGGCAAAAAAAGGGCAAAAAACAAGCATTTTTCTAGTTTCCAGATAATAACTTGTGTTTAAGTGTATGGATCTCTATGAAATTGTACTACAAGGTTCCATACTACAAAGGGAAGGATGTGATTGAGTCTTGGTGTAATTGCTCCAAGGGGGGTTTCCAACAGGTTTTATTTTTTTTTTGGGGGGGGGGATTTTTTATCCAAATTTTTTAAGGAATTCATATTTTTTTTTCAAAAATTTTCAAATTTCAAATTTTTGAAAAGTTTTAAGAAGAAATCTTCAATTGCGCAGTATTGGGCAATAGATTTGTAAGATTTTTACCACATTTATTTTGTGTCAGAAACCTTTATTATGTCAAAAATTTGATCACAATCAAAATTCAGACAGTATCAAGCTTGAATATTGCATCCAAATTTGCCCCAACTGTTCAGGGTTGGACCACTGTGGTCGGATCAGGCTGCGCTCAGCGAAGCATTTTATTGTACTTAATATCAATGATCTTTCATAAGAATTTGTTTTGAAAAAGACATGTTCGGTGGCAAGTATTACATGCATATCAGGATGAAAAACATGTTAAAAGATACAACAGATCTCAACATGACATAAGAAATGAGCAACAAGTTTCAAAGTTTAAAAAAATCTTTAATTACTTTAGTCTTCATAATAAAATTGAATTAAAACTCATTTTGTTTGCCAGAATATCTATTAAGCCATTTTCTTGGCACAGTCTATCATCACTTTGATGCCAGCACCACTTTTAGCAGTCTCGAATGCTTGTAAAGTTTCCTCAATGGTGAAGTTATGTGTAATGATTGGTTTAACATTGATTTGTCCAGCAGATATCATTTCTATCAGTGTCGGCCATCTGAAATACAAATTAAGAAACAGTCATCAGATCTTGCAAATATACAACTCATTTCATGTGCATACTTGTAAAGAAATTTATTTTTGAAGAGTGATTACAAAGGCAAAACATGTTTATGAGGTTATATTCCTTATTTTCCTTAAAGATCAAATTCAAGCAAGGGCATATTTATCAAGATTTTATTTCAAAAATAAAAACCACTCGCAAAAAAATACCACTCTCCATTAATTGAAGATGAAGTATCTTGTTCTGCTATAAATCTTGAAACTTTTCAGAAAAGTTGAATTTAAATTAGATAGTCCCAATAATTAGGGTCTGGATGGGGTTACAGAATAAAGAATAATCAACAAAAAAAGAAGAGAAAATGGCTTTTAAGAATTTAAAAATACAGACCCCAATCCAGACCCTTTTTAGCCCCCTATCGACAAAGTCGAAGAGGACTTTAGGTTTGCACTCCGTCTGTCTGTCCATCCGTCAGTCAGGCAAATCAGTTTTCCACACTTTTTTTCTTTTTTCTTGAAGATATTGATTTGATATTTGGTGTATTGTTTTATCATGACAAGTTACAGATCAAGATCAAATTTTAGTCCGGTCTAATGATTTTGTGCAGAGTTATGGTCCTTGGACTTAGAAAATTCACTCAAATAATCAGTTTTCCTCACTTTTTTTCATCGTGCTTGAAGATCTTGATTTGATAATTGGTATATAGTTTTATCATGACAAGTTACAGATCTAGTTCGAATTTTGCTCCGGTCTGATGATTTTGTGCAGAGTTATGGTCCTTGGACTTAGAAAATTCACTCAAATAATCAACTTTCCACATTTTTTTTCGTCGTGCTTGAAGATATTAACTTGATATTTGTTATAGAGTTTACACCATGACAAGTTATAGATCAAGTTAGCATTTTGTTCCAGTACAATGAATTTTTAACTGGTAGGGGACTATGTATTGCCAGGCAATACTCACAGAATGCTTGTTAATTACAAGATTTATTTTAATCTGGAGAACTTGGTATTATATTTTTGCATCTGGATCTTTCCTGAAGTTTTACGCACATACTGTTCACTATCAGGATCAACAATGAAGCTCAACAATGTTAAAGCTATGATGATATTATCTACTTTATACATACGTGTTGACATATCTGAAACAACCTTTAATATCCAGTTCTTTTGCCACAGTAGTTACAATTGGGAATGAGACTCGTGGTGGTCCATGACCAATGATTCCAACTGCACCTGCATGTCTTGTAGCCTAGCAGAGAATAGACAAAATTATGTTATTGTTGAACTGTTACCTGCATGTCTTGTAGCCTAGCAGATAATAGACAAAATTATGTTATTGCTGAACTGTTGTTTGTGATATTGACTTATTTTATCTCATTGGTGAAGTCTTGGCAATCTCTCATATATCGGCTTAAACAGTGTCATATTTTGAAAGGGAACAACATTTGGAGAGTCTGTGTAATCTATCTGATATGCACTAATAGAGGGTCTGGATTTTGAGCAATTATTTCTGGATATTTTGAATTCGAATTATGTAGGCCAAGATATATTTCAGGAGCTCCCTAAATTCTATAATTTTGACTAAATCAGCACCTCATATATTTTTGTTTGCCTCCCTGGCTGCAGTTGTGTGTACCAACAACATTCTCTTTCCATTTATATCTATTAACTAGTAGTTTCATGGGGGTCTGGATGGAGTTTACAGAATAGAGAATAATGGGCAAAAAATATAACAAATAGAGAAAAATAGGCCAAAAAAATAAAGTGTATAATAGAGAAAAATGAGGTGCTGAAATATAAAGAATAGAGAAAAATTACCGAAAAAAATAAAGAATACAGAAATGAAGGAATCCCTATCCAGACTATCTATTGAACAAGTAACATTGTAGTTGTTATTCAACTTGAAAAATGAACTTAAATCTTTACACATGTGAAATGTAATTAAACCTTTAACCAGACTCACTGCATTAACATACTGACTTACATATACTGCAAGGTCTACAGAAAATTGTGCCCCACTACACTCTATGGTCTGATGTGGTGGTCCACCCATCATTTCACCTATTTTAAGACCTAGTTCTTCTGGTTTGTCATCTTTACCTATTAGGTATGTATGAGTAGCACCCAGTGTTTTGGCAAATTCTAGTCTCTTAGCATCAACATCTACAAATTGGAAAAACAAAATTTGAAAAGACAACACTTGCAGAAGTAATGAGCCTCCTCAAAGGGTTTTTGATAATGTGATTACCTGGCCGTTTGTATAGTGATTATTTGATTACCAGACCAAATATTTCATGAATATTTGATTATTTGATAATCTAGGACTGTATTTTTGATTATTTGATTATCTTGTTTAAGAAAATAATTAATGATTATGTGATTATATTGGCAATTTGTGATTATGTGATTACTTGGACACCCCATGAGGGCCACAGTAGTAAATACGATCTGCATCCATACAAGGATTTGAATCTTAGGCAGAATGCACTTCCAATTATAAATGATTGCTAAATATGCAAATGAACAGCCTGTGCTTATGCTGTGACCACAGAAAACAAAAAATTGTGATTCATTTCTTGATCAGGTTGAGAAACTTTAAATTGCTATTTGTTTGGCTTCTCTAATAAGTTAGCAACAGTACTGGATAATATTTTAGTATGGGATGACATGTCTCCATTGAAGCTATACCTTATGAGCAATCATTTTAAAAAAACCTACTTTTTGTATTAGTCATCACGGCCAAAGTAGGGGTTATATTCATATCAAGTCAATATGGTATGAACCTAATTATGGTTAAAAATGACTCCTGCTTAAAAATGTCAGCCCATCAATTTAATTTAGGCCGTTCAGTTAAAGTATGCTGAAGTGCACCAAATAATAAGCTACTGAATGGAGGTTTATTGAAAAAAAATGATTTTTTTGTCATAATGATATATCAAATTTCATTAGTATGTAAGCCATCTTAGCCTTTTCTTCACACAATACTAGCATTCTGCATATTGAGATGCCTTGCAATAGGTCTTTGAGGGGTCCGTTGGTGGCCTGTTGTGCAGCTAAATTTGTCCATATCCAATGTAATAATGTATACACATTTTCTGTGGTATTTCAAATTTCCCTTCCGTTATCCCTATCAACGCCTTTTGCAGGACCTACCTTTCGTATGTATTGTTCACTTGTTATCGTCCTGAAAATGCATGAAATACGTCAATGGACGTTAAGCAAACAACAATCTATCAATCAATCTTACAAAACCATCATTTTGCTGAGAGTGGGAATTGGATTGTATTTCAAATTTTGAATTTTTTTATTACTCACCAGTAATGCATATTGATGCAGCTCCATATGCCTTTGCCACAAGCAGAGAGCAAAGACCAATTGGACCTTTAAAAGAAGAAACAAATTTGAAAGTTGTTAACCAAAACTATTTTACTATGCTACTGATAAAGTTAAATACAGAAAAGCCCTTCACATTCAGGACAATTGTGTATATTCGATTAATCCACAACTCACATTACCGAGTTTGTACTTGCATGAACAACACAACGGGTACCACCTATGGAACAGGAACTGCTTACCCTTTAAGATCACATGAGAATACACCCGGTTTTGGTAGGGTTCGTGTTGCTGAAGTCTTTCGTTTTTCTATGTTGTTTTTTGTATACTGTAGTTTGCCGTTTGGCCGTTTTTCTTTTTTTTTTGTAATTTCGTTGTCAGTTTGACATCTACTAATGAATTTTAATATCCCTTGATTATCTTCCGCCTCTCTTTTGATAATAGAGAATAAAAGAAATATTACGTCAATATTGTAACATATCCCTCTACCAAATTTTAAAATGATGAAGATAAATCATTCAGTGATTTTAAATGTTGTACAGTGTAGTTATGTACCTGGATGATTGCACACCTCAGTGCAACCAAGGGGTGCAAGTAAAAAAAAACACATTTTTGTTCAATGCTGATATATGAGCCATAATGTGAATATTTAAATATCAGTCAGTGAAGCATGAAGTCTAGGCCATTGTGACCTGTTTTTATTTGCATGATAACCTACACGGTAATGCATATCTACATGAAATGGCGTGTAAAAGAAACATTGGTAAACATAAAATACAATGCCAAGCTATATATACTGTGGGAATCCTATACTATATACAGTTAAGTCATCTCATATGTTATATTGGCAAATCACTGAAAAAACGGTAATGGATCATTCGGATGTTACCTGCCCCAGTTATAAGAACATGGTTTCCCATAGTAACACCAACTCTTCTACAAGCATTGAGACCAACAGAGAGAGGTTCTACGCATGCTCCTTCTTCAAAGCTAACATTGTCTGGTAGTCTGAAAAAGGAAGACAATATAAGTACTTCAACTGTAGATTCATAGTTTTGAAGGCCGTTAAATAATATATGTAGAAAGAGTTAAATTTAACTTTTCAAGTAAATTTTCATTGAAGTGAATTTTCGATTATTCTTTTATTCTTTTTTCATCTTTTGTTAACAAACCAGACGACATTTTCACACTTACTTGAAAACAAAATCTGCTGCATGAACATGGTATCGTGCCAAAGCACCACTGTCTGGGGGAGTAGCCAAGAAGAACAGATCAGGACACATGTTATACCGCCCTCCTTTACAGAACTCACATGATCTACATGTGATGTGTGGATCCATTGCCACTCTATCACCTAAAGTATTTTAAAACGAGGTTAAATTCAGTGATGACGATGATAATGATGATGACGATGATGATGACGACGACGACGACGATAACGATGATGGTGACGATGATGATGATGACGACGATGACGATGATGATGATGATGATAACGACGACGACGACGACGATGATGATGATGATGATGGTGATGATGATGATGATGACGATGACGATGACGACGACGACGATGATGATGACGATGACGATGACGATGACGATGACGATAACGATAACGATAACGATGACGATGATGATGAGGAGGAGGAGGAGGAGGAGGAGGAGGAGGAGGAGGAGGAGGAGGAGGAGTAAGTGTAAGGTATGGTCCAGTAAGTATTTTATTGATTATAACTTTTATGTCGTTACATAAGTATTTTTATCAATATTTTGGTAATTTTCTGAGAATATGTAGTTTTAATGACTACTAGATATTATGCAAATCAGATAACTTTTTTAAAAATTTACCTTTCAAACAAAAAATACGTATACCTGTACTTTGCTATACTGTGTCAAAATTTCCATCATCTTCATCATTTTGATCTCCTTCAATTCATGACAAAACTATGTTGAAACCACATTTTTTTCCTTGTCTTTTAAAGTATTCAGATAGATCAAACTGTTTCTTAGTGTAAACATACCTCTCAGAAACATTAATGTTAACATTCTTTCCCTTTTCTTTTGAACTTCATGCAACATAACTGGGATTTACATTATTTTTTCAAATAAAATACTTTTTCAACATAAACGTGTACACAATTCAGTAAAAATGAAAGGTAAAAATCAGCTTATACATACCAACTTTAAGATTTTTTACATTTGGTCCGAGTTTAGTGACTATTCCGCTGGCCTCATGACCAAGTAATATAGGGCCTTTTACAATAAAATCTCCAATGGCACCTGCTGTCCAGTATTTCACATCTGATCCACAAATACCAACTTTTTGCATTGAAATTTGCACTTCTGTAAGTATCCAAAGTATATAACTGAGATCATGTTTGATAGCAAAAAGATGAAATTAGCAACACGATAGACGTTATGTAAAATGTTTTAATTCTATGTGGGTATGTTTTACACTATATTTTATATAGCGAATATTCTTTCTTTAAAAAATGATAATTTACAACAATGGTTTCCCTTATCACCACAGCCGCTTGCGCTGATGGACTTAAGTTTAGAGTAAATGTTCTTTAATATTTTAGCTTATTTGCATTTATTTAATGTGTTCTTTGATTGGGATTGTGAATTTTGTCACCAGAAGCCGATACGATTAAGCCCCAATTCATGTAGGAGTAGTTTGAAAATCACCAAGATGATTCGGAGAGAAGCACTCGCAATTTATCTATATAGGTCCGCCACACGGGTATCGAATAATGACTAGATAAATGGTTTGAAAAAAAACACACCCAGTTTGAAATTTCATATTGAATTTGATATTAAGGACATTAACATCTTGTATATGTTCATACTTTGCTTTTTTATATAGTATAACACGCGGAGTTGGATTTTGCCTGTCTAGCACACAGGCATTGACCCCCTTTTCTCTCTCATTTTTTGTGTTTATTTTTTTTGGTAGATATTCTTCAGTTTGAACATCTTTTCACCTATTTGATGTTTAATGTTTTCTTGCTCTTATCCAAACGATATTACAATAACAGTAGTTCATAAACGCTGGGAAATAAGAATAAAGGGGCAGCATATATGAACAACTATTATTGTAATATCGTATGATTAGAGCAAGACAGTAAAGTCAAAATGTTATTCAGCGACACATATTGCTTTAAATACAATATTACAGCATCGCTGAATCAATATGGTGTATTAACTCATCACACAAAATAGCTACATGAGATTGAATCGATATGGTCTATCAACTCATGACATAGAATAGCTACATGAGATTGAATTGATATGGTCTATCAACTCATGACATAGAATAGCTACATGAGAAAGAATCAGTATGGTGCATTAACTCATGGCAAAAAATAATTACATGAGATTGGATCGATATGTCTATTAACTCATGACACAAAATAGCTACATGAGAAAGAATATATATGGTGCATTAACTCATGGCACAACATAGCTACACGAGAAAGAATCGATATGGTGCAGTAACTCATTTAATTATGACAAAAAAGCTAGATAAGAAAGAATCGATATGGTGTTTAATTCATGACACAAAATAGCTTCATGAGAAAGAATCGAGAAGTCGAAAAGTCGAATACTCCTACTCAAAATGATATATTATTTCTTTTATGTTTTATTTTATAGAAAGAACCCTCATATCTTCAGATGAAAACATCTATACTCTTTTATAGATAATAATTACCACCGGGACCAGGCTCCGGAATACCCCTATCTTCCTGTAAATAAAATATGAAGTTTATATTAAAAATAAACGCTTGCAAAGTAATTCAGTTTTTTTAAACTTCCAATCCCAGAGAAAAAAAAGCAATTTAATGACTTTTTTACGGACAGTTGAATTAAAGCTAGGAGGCTCTTCAAGAACAAACACCATGATTCCCGTGTGCAAAACGCATGACCTGAAATGACCATCGTCAGGCTCGTTTTTTTTATAAAGAGTTCTAAAAAAGCCCAAACAATATATTACTCCTAAGAGCATAATAATAAAAAGACTTGTGATGTGCTGTTATACCACTGTCCCAGGTTAGGTCACTGGTGAAGGGTTGGCGCGCCCGCAAACATGTTTAACCCCACCACATTTTGTATGTGCCTGTCCCAAGTCAAGAGCCTGTAATTCAGTGCATGGTTGGCGTTTGTTGCTGTTTATCATATTTATTTTTCGTTTATTGTTTTTTACATAAATCAGGCCGTTAGTTTTCTCGTTTGAATAGTTTTACATTTGTCATTTCGGGGCCTTTTATAGCTTGCTATATGCGGTATGGGTTTTGCTCATTGTCGAAGACCGTACGGTGACCTAGAGTTGTCTCCTAAGTCCTTGGAATCGTTCCACATCTTCTTATTTTTCATTTAATATAAAAGCCAATTATAACAATGTATAAAGTCGTGTAATGTCAATTCTTTCTTTTACTATGATATGAAACTTTGAATATTATACAGGGGGCCTCGGTTGCCGAGTGGTCTAAGTATAGTGAAACAAATGTATCAATTGCCTGTCAACACTGAGGTTGTGCACGTGGCAGGTGCGCTCGACTCCAATCTTAATTGACTAGGATTGTCAGTTTTCCTACCGAAGGTCGGTGGTTCTCATGGGGCACTCTGGCTTCCTCCACCAATAAAAACTGACCGCAACGAAATACAACACAATAGTGTTGAAAGTGGCTTTAAACACCAATCAATCAATCAATATATCAATATCTTTGGACTGCATCGGTTGTTGTAAAAAGTATATATATATATAGGGTTACACTTTATTACTAGCCAATGGAATCATGAGACGGGGTAACAAAACAGGCCTGACTAGTTTGTTATAAATAATTTGGCATGGTTCACCTAACAAACATTGTGTCTGGAGGCAGGGTCCTCACAGTCGTCGGATCCAGGACTTCTTAAAGGGTGCGTAATTCCATAAAAGTGAACATATTTTATGTATACTGCCGAGCGGAGTGTGGCGATATATTTTGGACGATTTTATGCCAAATAATGATATTTTCTCTGATCAAAAGGGGGCTTTGGGCGTACGTCCCCTTAGAATCCGTCCTTGGCAGGTAAACTGAACTTTAAGGCACTAAGTACATGCTCAAGTAGTCAATTCAATCCGTTCACAATTGATTTTCTACATTAGGAATAACATATAATAGTATTGATGGCAACTGTCCTACATGACACTGTAGAAATCGTGCTTAGAAATAAACACTTGTATAACATGTTTAGTTCTACACATTTTTGGGATTGTGTTTAATGTCTAAACACAATTCTCAGTAAGCACATTAAATGTAAACATGTCTTGAATTTAAACACTATTAAATGTGTTTTAGAATGAAAGTGTTGAGGAATAAATAAAACACAAATTTCTAAGCTAAACACCATCCTAAACACAATCCCAAACACATTGTACTGAGACACGTTTAGACCAAAACGCGTAAAAAAAGTGCACAAAAGATATGCTTAGAATTATGTTTAATTAATTATTAAAGTTGGTAAAACACCAATTTTACAGTGAAGTAAACGGATTGTTTGGTATTTTAACCGGCTGTCTGTTGAATATATTTCATAAACATGAACAAAACAAAGGGTGGTTTAGGTGACATTGTAAGATAATATATATTCTTTGTCCAGATATAGTTATCAATGTAAACAATGGAATTTCTGGGGTGACCAACAGTCATCAAAGTTTATAAATTTTCAAAAGTGGTAAAGACCATGGCCAGACTAAATCTAAATCATGCTAGATGAAATGATCGCTATGGTCAAGCAGGTAATTACACCTACAAAGTGTACTAAACAAATGCACCATAAAGTAGTTTCTGTTATTTTGGGTAAGAAAATTTGGAAATTAAAGATTTTTTTTAGAAAAGTTTGAAGTATCCATAATAGATGATTGGTCATGCATTTCTTAACTTACCAATCGAAGATCACCCTTCTTATAAAGAACTGCTGAAAGATTAATATCCGACATCTTCGCTATCGTATAGTTTATTCAAAGTAAACAAAGTAGACTTATCTACAAAATGTAATCAACTAGGTTCAATATCTAGGTGAAGATAACGTGTAATGGAAAAGGTATACTGAACGACCAGAAAAACGCAGAAGTATGTAGATGACGGCTAAGCTGTACACACTATTATGTTGAATGTCCAACACTTTCTGGGAAACAGTAAAAAGTTTAAATACCATCCCATCTAAAAATCATGCAAAAGGTGATTCAAGGCTGGAAAGCCTAACTACACACTTTTATTTTTGATATTTTGTTCAGAATACAAAGTTATACTAAACTACACTTCTATATAATAATTTCTACTTTTATCCATGATTGTGGGAGATTTAAAATATATGAAGTAAATGAAAAGTTTGAAAAGGGAGATAAATCAAAAACCAGCAGATCGTTGTATAGTAAATATCAAATTAATTGTGTTTCATGATCAGGCAGTATGGACATTATAGTTATAAATTTCACGGTGTGCATTAGTTAGTGCGTGCGTAAAATATTAAAAGTAAAAAAATAGTGAAGCACATTTTTCATGAATTGGATTATCAATATATGGAAGGCTTCTTAAACGAAATCTTTGTTATATGGTGTATGGTATCCATAATGTAGAAATAACAGATGCAGAAAATCAATTAAAATTTTTATATTGCTTTCAAACAAGACATATTCCAGGCGCATTGTTAACGCTTTAAAGTCTTTCCGTCTCGAATCCTTTCCTAGTGGTTAAGAATAAATTATAGAATGATCCTGCATTGTGTAAAACACCCGAATAGATTATTTAGTATTATATATTTATAAATGTTGATACAATTTATGCCTGTGTTTGCACATAATATCCTTATGCTGTGTCACACCTTGTGTTTTTCACCATATGACTACAAGGGGTGTACCACCTTAAATCCCCACCCGAAGAGGCGTCCATAACACAATCTAATGAAAACATTTTAAACATTGGTGAATGTGTATTTTAAAAAAGTGGTATAACCAAAAACTTCGCAACAACTCTTTGTCCTTATATTTCCCCAAGATCTTTAACCAGCCGTGACTGATATACATCGGTTGCTTTACACCGGTTCAATACGGAATGTCTACCATGATGATGGGTTTGGTGTGCAACGTCCAGTGGCAAATATTACATGCATATATATCATGACGAGAACATGTTACTATGTAATATGAATATAAAATAAAGATATGTGGTATGAACTCTGCTTTGTACTAGACCTACCCACTAGGCCGGACTTTAACATGTTAAAAATCATAACTCTATAAAGAGTTAACTGACAATTTCAGTCATGTTGACATATTTGTAGATCTTGTCCTGCTGGTCATTTTTGATCTATGAAGTTGTTATCTACATTTGTATCTATTACACTTTTCAAGATAAAAGGCAAAAACTCAAGGTATCAGTCCATTGGAATACATGTCATGAATTCATGTCAAACATTATCAAGAGTCCGATCCAACCATGCAGTGTTTGCTCTTAATACCGCGTGCTTAGCGGAGAAGAGCAAATACCAATTTTTCAATTCCTTGGTTTTGTACGGCCGGAAATCGAATCCCGACCAATTTCTACCTTGACTTTTATGAATACCATTACTTGTTGATATATTCCATATATTTTATCAGTACCTTTTATTTTTTTGCCATTGTGTTTTTCTGTTTTTTATTTCCATTGGTATCTCTTTCCTATTATCTGGTATGTCCGAGTCCTCCTACACAAACCAAAGTTAAATTGTTTGTTAGGTAGAAGACCTACTTAGCAGACAATCTCTTATATCTCTAAACAAATAAAAATGCCCTCTAATTTACCGTTGAACTATCCACAGAACTTACTTTTGTTGTACGTAAGTTCGGACGTTAAAACTAACCATTGCAGCTTCGGAACTTTGATTTAAGAATTTCGAAAATGATGACTTTAAACATATTTACCACTGGAAACGATACAACTTAAATGTAATCAAGACATTTACTAAATTTTATAAGAAATATACTGATTTATAGTTGAATGTAATATGACTCTTTTTCCAGGATTAAATAAAAAAGTGGCATTTCTGAAATTTACAAGTTTCAAGTTTGGACTTAAAAGACAACACGTATCATGGTCATACAGTGTTTTTACATCATGTAATTTTATTCATTAAAATATGTACATATATAGATTACTAAAACACGTGTACTTACTGATACTGGTCGCATAATACTCTATACATTTTGGTTACTTTTGTGAGATGATGAAAATAATTTAAATATAGTACCAAAAAAAGACAACAATAGCTGGATATATACATATTCTTAGGAGCTAATCTAACATTACATTCTTAATTGGAACAACGCCGAATTATGCAGTGAATTTTGAAACAATTTGGGAATTATACAAAATCAAACTGCAGACTTCTGATAAACTATTAACTTGATGGATGGATGGATGGATGCTTAACGTCCAGCTGCAAATTAATATGCATATTCAGAACGAGAACATGTTAATGTAATATGAATACTAACCTTGCTTTGTACTAGACTGACACGCTAAGTCGGATTTTTAACATGCTAGTTCACAAGGTAACAGTCCGCAGGAAGACATGTCACATTACCCGGACACATTATTCTGACTCCGAACAGACCAGTCTTTGCTCTTACTCCTTAATGCCGCGTGCTTAGCAGAGAATATCAATTTTAATGTCTTTGGTTTGACCCGTCGGGGTTCGAACCAACGACCTCCCGCACTCGAGGCGAACACTACCACGAGACCACTGAGGCGGTCTATTAACTTGAACGTTTGACAATAAGACCATACTATTTTTACAATTTTTACATTGTATATATATTGCTTGTAATAAATGAAATCAGTTGAATCTTTTATCACAGATTTTTAGAATCGTAACAACTGTTTGATTATACCATAATGTAGGGTAGGGTTTACAGAATAGAGAATAATGTGGTCTAGTTTCAAATGTCATTATTGCAAACTATTTGCAGTGAGAGACTTGATGAACAATTGTATAAAAACATTGCATAATGTCACAATGGCACCTTAATTTAATTCCGTATTACAGTTTTAAAGTAACAGCTCGAACGACGTTACGTTCTTTTTGAAAAAAAAACAGTATGTTGTCTTTGAGCCTGCAGTAAGCGTGTTATAATCTCCAACACTTATGCACACCTTAAGTTTAATTCTTTTTAGTTCAATTTAACAATTGTGAAACAGGAATGTTGATATATATACTGAGAACCAGCAGTCCTCACTGTTATTTCATCACCTACATCCAACATCGTCACAAAAACTCTGGTTCTAGTTTGGTAGGAGCCGTCAACTTTACCGTAATATGTATCAATCATGTCGTCATTGTTTTTATAAATGTAGTAATACTGATTATTTGTGTGTGTCATCATAACTGCCGAAACATGGTACAATCCAGCAATAGTACAAATGAATTTTCCGGTTGTTTTATAAGCAGATAAGTCGGATATTCCAATGTTGGCTTTGATATTTGGAAATTGTACTACTTTTCCACCCAGCACAGTAGAACCTGTATGGCAGGCGGTAAGAGCAACTGAAAAGGGAAAAAAGATAATATTAAAAAGTTATGACTTGTAAAATTAATTAGAACATCTAAAGATATATTATCAAAAGTTAAAATATATTTGTACAAGTCAAATTTCGTTCCTTTTAAGTATTATACAACACCTGAGGTTTGATTTAATATAAAAAAAAACAACCAACCAAAACAAGTGAACTCTCTGATCAGATGTAGTTCCTTATAATCTTTATACAACACGTGTAGTATTGTCTAGCAGTTACGAAACCCCAGGTGGTTAGTGCATTACACCCCTTTTTCTTTTCCTTTTTTTTTGGGGATGGATAATCTTTAAAGTAAATATACACGTGTTCTTGCTCTTATTCATCCGATATTACAATAACCAATTATTGGCGAAATATAAAGAAGGAATATAGAATAAAAAGGAAATATTTGTCCCATTTAAACTAACAAAAATTTCCTTTCCGAAATATTGTTATTTTCATTTAAAAGAAACATCATTGATTTTGTACCAAACATCGTTCGTTTATACTAGTATTTTTAACTCCAATACCAAATATTGTCACGAAAACTGCCGTTTATAACACTTATATAGTTGTCAAATCAATGTGCTACCAAAAATGCGTCGTCTTAGAAAATTATTTGTTTTCGTAATTTTTGCATTTCAAAATTAAATTACTTGCAGTCAACAACAGGTTGAGATATTTGATATAAAATGAAAAGACGAAATTTCGGACAAAGGAAATATGCGTGTACTTTTATTTCCACATACATCAATGTGTAAATTTTGCGCCTGTCCCAATTGAAGAACATCTAGCCTTTGTAAGTCTTGTATGGTTTTTTTTTTGGTTTATTTGTATGTTTCGGAGTTTAGTGTGGCGTCCATTTCGCCGAACTAGTAAACATTTTTGTTTAGGGGCCAGCTAAAGGTCGCCTCCGGGTATGGGATTTTATTGCTGCTTTGAAGACCCATTGCTGGCCTTGGACTGATAAGAATCCGAGTTGCTATCGGTTTCATTAGGTTGGGCTCTATGATGTAATTTCAAAGGTAATTTTACCACTAAAATGAACGTGAAATGTTGTATTTCAAATATAGAGTGGAAACATTTTCAATCTCAAGGTTATTTAAAAGAAGTGTATCAGCGCGATTGTAGCTTTTTTACTGCGTTAAAATTGAATATTTTTACCAAACTCTTGAAGCCATTTGCAAAGGTTTTTTTTTTTCTAGATCATTTGAATTTTAAAGAGGAGAAAGTGTTTGGCATAACTGAAAATCTTTATAGATATTGTTATAATCTTTTTAAAAAATATACTATTACTTGAATTAAGTAAAATCATTGGTGCACATTAGTTTTGTCTTACATATTTTACTTTCTGTTCCAACTATAACAAGCTGAATGATGATAAAACCTTAAATTTTGTTCAGGGTTTTTTTTACGTATTTTGGCTTTCGGCGTTTTTTTCCCCATTATTTTTTAAAAGATGTTTATATAAGATAAATAGCAATCGAAATGTTATTAATTGTACCATTATCAGATAAACTGTAATATAAACATAACCTACCTTTCTGCTGTTTTAAAGCAATTTCTTGCAAAGAGTTATTGAAGCGAACTTGGAAGTTTCCCACAATCTTTTCAAATGATTCATTGAATCGGTTCTGTTCTTGGTGAAGAAATAACTTCATTGTACTATCCCTTTTACGTTCAGCTTCACTAAATTCTATTACTTTAGAAGAAAAGGAATCCAACAATGAATTCATCTGTCTTTCGTAAAACCCAGTTTCATTTGCAGACTGCAGCTTGAAATGATCGTCGGTTTCAAGAACAGAATCATTAAACCGCGTTTGGTCCTGTAGATAAGCATCTCGCATTGATTCAACAAATGTTTCTGTTTTTGCTTCGCTTCTGTCACTTTATCCAAAATTGACGTAATAGACTCTTCCCATAGCTTTATCTTTTCCGCATATACTTCCATTTTATGTTCCAGGCGAACAACCTTCTCTAGGACCTTTTCTTCAAAATGAAATTTTGAACAGCTCAATAACGATTCGGACTCTGAACCAAGAGATCTGGTTAAAATCGGTATTATTGATATGCTTAAGCAAATAAATTGAAAGACAAACATGTTTGCGACTCATTTGTTCTGCAGCAAATGGCAAATGCAAGGTACATTTGAAGCGGAAAAGATATATACTTATTTCTTATATATTATTCCAATTAATTGCATTAACTTATTACCGGGGCTTATAACGTCTGCATATCGTCTGGTTCCTTTTTTAAGATAATAAAATCATTCGTCTGCAGGTAGTTTTTATTATAAATTAATAAGCTTCGCCTATTTTTAATACCATACAGCTTTAATCAAAGCAAGCACAACAAAAGAGGTTAAAATACTTTCACAATGAAAGAGTAAGGTGAATTTTCCTACCTACATCGATTTTAGCATGCATTTTCCGCATCCTATTATTTCGGGTTTTATACAAACTTCAGTGGTGTTTTCATACTGTTGTCTCATATATTATTTTCTTGTAGTCTCATTTTGTATTTTTTATGAAGTCTCATAGTGTGAATATAAGTTCTGTAGTTTTTGGTCGGAGGTTGTTTAATTATTTTGAGATTGTTTAATGGTCCTGATGGAGCAAGTTTCAAATAAAGTCAAGACAGCAACTAACATAGATTAACATTATATATCAATTACCGGCTCCAAACAAACTAAACCAAGGCTAACATAAGGGTTTCTGTGTGTAGACCAAAACATGATCTCAGCAAATCATATTGGCTTAAATCAGAAAAATAGTTAGAATGAATAATAATTTGATCATTAACACTAAACTAAATTTAATATTGGCCCTTGAGAAACACTTCGCATACAAATAGAATTTTGAGTTCCTGCTTGAGTAAGTGAACTTGCAAAGGAGAGAAAAAAGATACCAGAGGGTCAGTCAAACTCATAGATCGAAAACAAACTGACGACGCCATTGCCAAAAATAAAAAGACAAACAGACAAATAATAGTACAGATGACACAACATAGAAAACTAAAGACTAAGCAACACGAACCCCACCAAAAACTCGGGGTGATCTCAGGTGCTCCGGAAGGGTAAGCAGATCCTGCTCCACATGTGGCACCCGTCGTGTAGCTTATGTTATTACTGGCAAATCCGGTAAATAGTCTAATTCGGTAGGTCACATTCGTGAAAAGGGAAGGGTATTGTAGTTACGACATAAGGAACATATCCGATATCATCTGTGAAACGGTTATTCCATAACGGTCAACCAACTCGTGATGGCGTCCGTAAAATTTACGAGGGGATGATTTCAACTTCACCATTTGGAACTCTTGGTTTAATAGCTTCCTTGTGAGCAGCAATCCTCTATCAAGGAAATCATGATAGGAAATACAAGCCCGGGAATATCGAATCAATTGGGAGATATATACTCCGTATGCAGGCGCTGCTGGAATGTTGCTACATAGAAATGGAAAGATCACAATTGGAAAGCTGAAATCATCTCTTTTGTCGTAAAGTTTTGTTTTCAACCGACCCTCATTGTCAATTTCTAGATGTAAGTCAAGATATGAGGCAGACTTAACTGTATCTGTAGTATCCTTTATCTCTAGTTCGATGGGATAGATTCGTTCAACATAGTCACCAAATTTTGTATTATTTAGTGAGAGAACATCATCTATATAGCGGAACGTAAAGTTAAAGGATACTGCTAACTTCTTATCTTTCTTCCTTAGAAGTTCCTGTATGAAGTCAGCCTCATAATAATAAAGAACCAAGTCGGCAAGAAGAGGGGCACAATTGGTTCCCATTGGAATTCCGACAGTCTGTTGAAAAACACGTCCTCCAAACGTAACAAATAAATTGTCAATCAAGAAATCAAGCATCTTGATAATGTCAGTTTCAGAGAAATTTTTGTTTGAATCAGAGTGATTCTTTACAAAGTAGGATTTATCCCTCCCCAAGACAAGATACTTGTATCTACGTTCGCCATTCTTTTTAATGAAACAAAGTAATACCAATTCTTTCAATTTGTCTTTTAGTTTGGAATGGGGAATACTTATGTAAAGTGTAGAAAAGTCAAATGTTTTAATACTATTGCAAGATGAGAGAGTCTTAGATTGTATGTACTCTAAAAGATCTTTGCAACCTTCTGTGTGAGGAAGAACCTGCCTGCCCGACAATGCGCCAGGTGGGGAATGTGGATCAAGGGTTTTCCACGAGGGGATGAAACTAGGCGTCTCAACTGCAGCCGGGGTGTGCAAAGTCTGTATTGGGATAGCCCATATGCTAGTAGAGTAGCAGGGGTCTATCAAACTGGCACTGGAATAAATTTGAAAAAAAATTCCCCGGGGGATGGAATGAAATTTTGGAAATGACCAGTGATAAAATTCCATCAAGGTCCAAAAACTCAGAATGAACAGCTGAGTGCCCCCAGGGATTTAGTATTTTTGATTTATTAACTTCAATAAAGTCATGAGAAAAAAAAATTTTTACTCTCTAATTCATTATTATGTAATCAATGGTAATCAGTATTCAAACATTAAAAGCTATATTTAAAGATTTCTCTATAAACTGTGCAGTTCAGTATTGAAACATGAGAATGCTATGAAAAATGGTACTCAGTATTCAAACATGAGAATGCTAGAAATATTATAATATTCAGTATTCAAACATGAGAATGCTAGAAATATTATAATATTCAGTATTCAAACATGAGAACGCTATAAAATGATATTCAATATTCAACATGAGAATACTATTAAAAATGATAGTTGATATTCAGTTTGAAAAACATGAGAAGGCTATACAAATGATATTCAGTATTCAATGTTGAGAATGCTGTAAAAATGATACTCAATATTCAAAGTTTCAAAGATGTGAATTCTATAAAAATGATATTCAGTGTTCAATGATGAGAAATGATAATCAATATTCAAAGTTTCAAAAATGAGAAAGCTATGACAGATGGAATTCATTATGCAATTCAGAGTGAGGAAGAAACTACCTGTCAGACAATATGCCAGTAAGGAAATGTGGAGCGAGAGTTCTCCACAAGGGGTTGGCGTCTCATCTGCAGCCGGGGTAAGCAAGGTCTACATGGAGGATAGCCCATGTGCTAGTAAAGTAGCTGGGGTCTATCAAAACTGGCACTGGAATACAGGCATGAGTATGCTATAAAAAATAAATTTAATAGAAAAAATCGATATTCAGTATTCAAACATGCTAATATTGCCCGAAACAAATCTTGTGAAGAAGATGACATACTGTTCAGTAACTATCTGAGGACCAACATCCTAATACTTGACAATATGATCTGCTTTGGATGTGTGTGTAGTGTCTGCAAGTCGCAAGATAACCATACAAGTGATCTGGATTTAAACAAAACAAACTTAGTATATGTTTAATGCACTTAAATTTTAAAACAATTCTTCTAACTTAGTACATGGTTTATGCAGTTTATGTTTAGAATAATTCTTTCTAAGGCTTGAAGCTTCTCATTATTGAATACATGTTTATGTAGTTAATAAAAAAAAAATTCAAAGGCTTGAAAATTTGTGAGATAAGTGTATTAGTTTGGGAATTTGGCTGTAATCTTCTTTAACTTGACAATATTAAACTACGATTTTAAAAAGCTACATTTGATTTGTACTTTATGCAGTTGGCTAACGTTATCTTCTTTGACAGGAGCCTTTGGCTGTATCAGTTCAAAAAGTGCCATAATCTTTTAAGATCTTGAAATACAATATCTCCAATACACAATTTGCAGATAGATATATGATACATTATTTTTACATCATCAAATATTATATTTGGATTTTATTAATACTGACAATTCGAAAATTTTAATTAACTCATTAGCAGATGTGTTTGTCGAAATTTCAAAGTTAACAGCTATAATGTACTGTTAGATTTCTTGGTGTAACTTTCGTATGGTATAGCATGTATAGATTGTAGATGTAACTGCAGTTTTGCAAAGTAAACATTGTGTGTGTAAAAAGTAGTTTGATACACACGTATACTTAACAGTAAACACAGTATTCACAATGAAATTAACACTTTCAGTTTCAACAGAAAATCGTTAACACTTTATAGAGCAATAACACCGATTGTATGTATTGTCTGTACATGCTCTGGCTTTAAATCAATTAGACACTTATGAAAAGGATAAACAAAATTTGTTTAAGACATAAATTAATATAATTCTCTCTATAATATTCTTAAAGTAATAGGCAGTCTTGTATGGTTCCTTGGTTTTGACAGGTTTTAAAATTTTAAGGTGTTTGTCTAATGGTGTATGTTGTCAAATTCTAAGGATTCCAGTAGCTTGAAATAGAAGTTCGACCAAAATTGTTTCGGAACCACATTACTTCTGACTCGTTTGGCACTGATGAGACTGCAGTGCTGTATTTGTAGTCAATCTGATAAAATAGTATATCATACATGATCTGTTTGAATGGTAGGAGAAATAATGTCCACATTGGAAAAAGAATCTAAACACACTTCTGGGGTCCATGTTGAAATGAGGAGGCTCTAGTATCAAATGTTGTACGGATGAAGATGGATATATACTATATCTTGTTGTATTCCTGTTTGAACATTGGAACATTCTGAACTTGATACGTGTGACTAGTTGTTGAACTTGTGCTTTATACCACAGATGAAGGATGACATATTGTTAAAGATTATTAAACTGGTGATACTTAAATATGAAAACCAGCAATGTTCAAGTATATTTAGTAGGTATGACTGAGCATCAATCGACCAAATATAAAGTTT